GGTATTTATATATGCAACCATGCTTTACCATATGTTATTATTTCAACAGAAAAGCTTAAGAAAATATGTTCCTCCTCCATCTATTTTCTGAGAAAGAGTCTCATTGTGCAGCCCAGGCTGGCCTTAAATTCACAGTGATCTGAATGTTGGGATCATAGCTGTGTGCAACCATGTATGGCACTTCATCTACTGAATATCAGGAAAAAAGAGAAAATAAAGGGCCACGGGTGTAGATCAGATGTGACTCTGGGTTTCTAACATGACTTAAGAGGCTACTTTTGCTTTAAAAAACAAAAAACCTTCTCTCTCCAGTTGAGCCTGCAGGTACACAGTGGATAATTAAAGCAGGTTAAAAAGCTCAGCATCTCTGCTTTCATTTTGTATCTGTCTCCTTTGCTACCTTAAAATTTGGGTGAGATTCTTACTCAACTCTGCACATAGACGTATTAATATCATTTTAGGGCTGATAATCCACACCTGTCAAGGCTGAAAGTACCAAGATAAGAATAACTAAGGTATTTTCGAGATAAATCAACGGATTGTCAATTACCAAGAGAAGCTCCTAGAGGTCCTCACTTACTGCCTTGAACTTGAAGGCCTAACTAAACCCATCTTGCCTTTCTGATTTGCCCTTTAAGCTCTAAGTTATTCTTTCCAACAATCCACAACAGATTCTAGAAACAGCCCGAATGGTAAGGATCAACCAGACCACAGTTTGACCAAGAATGCTTGACTGTGCATACTTCTTGCCCTGACTTTTGGTTCTTCCCCTATTTAATTCCAAAGTTCTTTGTAGCTCTTAGCAGACATGGATGAGGATACTTGGTTCCTCACAGTCCCTTCCAATGTAGCTATACTGAATACACTCCTTTCCTACTTCACTATTATTTTTTGTTAGGTTGTTAGGAGTGAGTGGTCAAATATGGTCTACTGGCTGCCCCAAGACTCTAGCAACAACATCAATCCCCAGCATCTCCTGCTGCTCACCCCTAGAAAGAAAGAAAGAGAATAACACTCCCATGACCTAATTTTACTTACTCTTTTTACTTATTTAACTGCTCCACTAATGACTCATCAACATTTCTCTCAAATCAGAGGATTCCAAAATGCTCTGTATTCTATTCACAACAAGAAAATATAAATTCTTCCCATGAATTAAACCAAAAAAGCCAAAACTGAGACTGGAATATCTCTCATGACCACATTGCAGATAAATGGCCAACAAAGCCACCAACAACTATCTGCCAGAGGGAGTATCCTGATATACTAAATCCTGCATGTGGCCATTTGAAGCAAAGAGTACCAGAGGCTTGAATGAATTGGACTACTTACAAAAGCAATTAGGACTTGAGGGGCTAGGCTATTCTTAGAATGCCTAGAAAAATATATACACCAATCATAACTTAGGCAAGATTTGACTTAACAAAACATGACATTTGACATAACTTTATAGACAAAAACATTTCACTGAGCCAGTCATGATGATGCATACCAATAATGCTAGCACTCTGAGGACCATGAGTTCAAGGTGAGCCAGGATACAAAGTGAGATCCTCTCTCAGAAAAGAAAAACAAACACTTCATTGAAAACATACCATCATTGGCTAAATGCTGCAGCCAGTCATACTCCTTCTCTGTCTGTTCAGCCAATCTGTATCTTTCAGCCCATCGGAACAGATCACGAAGGGTAATGAAGCCCTGCTTTCCAGCAAACACTGAAGAACTTCTGCGGTAGGACTATAATAAGTATCAAAACAAATGAAAGGGGCTTTGCATGTAGTACAACCTACATCAAATTCCTAGTGATTTTAAGCTTCCATTAAAAATGATTTCACTAAGATTAAATTCTTTAAAATGTAAGTAGACTATAACTGTCAAAAGAAGGATATTAAAAAATCACATGTAAATAATTGAATTCCATACTCCAGAAAAAATATAATAATATCTAATATGTGACCATAATGCTAATATTAAATACTACTAGCATTCTGGAAAATAATTTGACAATGAACATATGCTTCCTGATAAAGAATACCTTTAAGAGCTGGTGCAGATGACTCATACCTGTCATTCTAACTCCTTGGGAGGTAGAGATCCAGGAGGATTGTCAGCCTGGGCAAATAGTTTGTGAAACCCTATCTCAAAAACACCCAACACAAAAAAGGCTGGCAGAGTAGCTTAAGTGGTAAAGTGCCTACCTAGCAAGCATGAGGCCCTGAGTTCAAGCCCCTAATGCCACCAAAAAAAAAACTTTTAACTTTAAAATATGAGGGTTTTGTTTTAAGTCAACTGAATGTGCTATGCCCTGGGTCCACTCCCTAGCACTACAAAAAAAAAAAAAAAAACCAAAAACTGTAACTTTGCAGTTGACAAGAGCATCTATTCAAGTATCGTAATTGTGACACAATTAGCATCATGTTTAAAAACAAAAAATTGTAAAGACAGGCACAGTGGCACATGTCTGTAATTCCACCTGCCTGGGAAACTAAGGCAATAGGGTCTCAAGATCAAAGCCAGCCTAGGTAACATAATAAGACCCTGTTTCAAACACCAGCAACAAAAACTATACTCTGCCCATATCAAATGCTCCAAAATTATACACAAATAAGGAACTGTCATCAAATATAAATGTTACAAAAGTTTTAAGATGATATACAACTACTGAGTTAGAAAAATGTTAAGAAAAATAAATAATCCGGGGCTATAGCTGCAGCTCTCTAACAGTGCTTCCCCAACAGTGCACAAGGTGCTAGGTTTGATCCTCAGTGTGTAGGGGGCATGGACACCAAAAATTGAGACATTAATAGAATACATTTTGAAAACAAGAGTCTATTCACTGGTAGAAGGGGAAGAGGAAGGGGAAGGAAAGGAAAGGAAAGATTCTATAGCTAGAGATGCAGCTCAACTGGTAGAGTAATTACTTGCCCAGCAAGGGCAAGGCCCTAAAGTTCAAACCCACAGTACTGTACTTTCCACCAAAAAAAACCAACAAGATTCTTACTGTGTAAAAACAAAGAAATAAATGGACAGACTTGTTTCTACTCAAGGACACTGTCAAATTTTGACTGACAATCTAAATCAATGCATTCCATCAAAATTAAATTCAGTGAAATACCTGAAGGTCCAACATGACTTTAACCAATCTGCTGCAATAGGATGGAGGTAAACTACATCGTTTGTGCAAGATTGTTTCCAACTCAGCGCTAGGCAATTCATCAAAGTGCAATTCCACAAACCGATTCCTGAAGGCTCTAGAAAGCACCTAGGAAATGCACAGAAAAAATACAGTAAAAAGGACCTTTTCCTCTAATTTCCAAAATAAAGGTCAAAATATCTCATTCCTAACAATAAACACTTATTACTTTATATAGTTATGTACAGAAGATAGAGGACACTCACTTTTCTGCCTCCATAAAGCCCTGGAGGATTTTGAGTGGCAAAAAGCATGAAGCGAGGGTGTGCTTTAACAACTTCTTGTGTTTCTGTTATAAGCAATTCACGGTTATCATCCAACAGCCTGTTCAGTGCCTCTAACACATCAGTAGGGGCCAAATTTAATTCATCTAAGACTATCCAGTAACCCTTTCTCATGGCATCAATAAGAACACCTACAAGGAAATGAACACTGAGAATTAGTGAAAGTGTATAAATTAGTCCAACTAAATTTCTAAACAAGTTACTCTTTGTAACTAGTCTTGCCCCCAAAACAAACTGTGACACCGTAGATCAAGGAAGCATAATTCAATTAAAACAGTCCTTTTCTTTTACCCACAAAGGAGACGTATGATTTCCAACTTGTTTAATTTTTTCCCCTGTAGTCTAATTTTATTTACACCACCAAATTCTCAGTATGTATTTCAAACTTTCTCCTCACTCCACTCTTTAATTCTCTAGGAAACAAATCAACACTTCAACTGCTTTCTTCAAAACATGGCCCAAATCCTGTACACAGCTGAAAAGACTAATGAGATTCAAACAAACCTAGTCCCCTAAGTGTCACCCTTAACTATCTGCAGCTCATGGGCAAAGAAAAACAGTCTGCTATGGAAGAGGTCCAAGTGCCTCAATTAGAAAGATCAAAGACTGTCTGGCGGAGTGGTTCAAGTGCTATAACACCTGCCTAGCAAGTGAAGCTCTAAGTGCAAACCCCAATACTGCAAAAAAACAAAAACAAAAACAAAAAAGAAAGCTCAATTACAACTACTACATAGGGAAATGGGTCTAAAAGCATGAAAACCTACATCTATACAACGCAATGTTAACATTACCTTCTTTAAAGACAAGTTTCCCTGAGGAGTCAGACGTGTAACAACCAATGTACTCCTGAATATCTGTGTGCTCGTGATTATTAATACGCACACAGTGGTTGCCAGTAGCTGCAGCGAGCCACCGGATCAGGCTTGTTTTACCAACTGATGTCTCTCCCTGAATCAGCACTGGATACGTTCTGTAAAAGATCAGTGATGGAAGGAAGAGAGGAGGAAAGGAATGGGGTAAAGGGAAGGCAGGGGAGAAAAAAACACAGAAACTAGAATTAGAGTAGTGTTAAAACAAGAATGGCCTAATTAGTCTGCAACCGTATTACTCCCACCAAAAGTACGACTAGAAACAATGCTTTTACTTTAGGAGAAAAGTCACAGTATTGACTTCAGAAAGTGATAATTTAATATACCAGTGAAGCTCTTCAAAGTAACGGAAGGTAGTCTAGAAAAACATCAATGCCTATGTTTGCAGAAATGTTATAGCAACCAGAGAAAAGCCCACACACACCCTGCAGAGACCACTCGGACTATATCTCTCAAGTTCAGCTTAACGGAAGATGTCAATACGTATGTCTCATCTATTGTTGGCTCTTTGTCTCCCACTGAAATCCAGTAGCCTTCAACCTGGATAAGTCGACCTCCTTTTGGTTCTGGAATAGGCTGAAAGACAGACAACTCTGAAAAATGGCTAACAGTTTTATGATGACTATAGCATTCTTTCAGAGATGGGAGAAAAGTAGGAAAAGAAGTTACCAAGAATGCTTTCACCATCAGAATCCATGGGCAAAATATGAACATATTACTTTGAGGAATGAGAATAGTGTTGTCAGATACTAGTTTTAAAAAAGTGGGGTGGGAATCAAAGTGTCTGGGGAAAAGCTAAAATCAAAATAATTTCCCACATATCTTATGAAGGAATTCTTTCACTTACAAATGACCACTCTCAGATTAAATATTTTAATCAGAAACATGTATTTCAGGCTGGAGGTGTGGCTCAAATGGTAGAGTCTGCCGAGAAACCAGTAACACCAAAAAGCAAATAACAAAAAAACCCACCATGTATTTTATATACATACAAACTGGGTCAGTTTTGATGCAAAAGAGGAAGGTTTGCATTATTTCTGGATCCTCTACAAGACAGATTTCTCTGACCCTTCAGAGAAACGAATCCTTTATTAGAAATTTTATAGACGATGGCATAATCTTTCCAAGATAAAGTGCTATTAGGCTGAATTATACAAACTGCTTTTTTTTACAGATCAAAAATGGTCAAATAGTGGGCTGAAGGAATGGCTCAATGGTAAGGGTGCTTGCCTAGCAAGTTCAACCCCAATGCCACTTAAAAAAAAAAAAAAAGTCAAATAGTGGCCCAATCTATAGTTATAGAGAATATATCTTGTGTAAATTTTGTCTTTGGATTTGAAGCTACAAGTCTAAGCCAGGTTTTAAATGCTCCTTACCACTTGAAGGTGTATGTGTGGTGACAGGGGGAAAGCCCTTCAAGCTTCCAATCACAATCATGAGGAGCACATATAAAAAAAGTGACTGAAAACTAGCATTTATGACATAATCAAAGTAAACCCGAGTCTGCCTCTTTGTACAATGTGTGCACGCTAATAAAAGTAACTTTAAAAATGTGTCTTTTTTTTTAAGTTTTTTTTTTAAAGCGCTTAGCATAAATAGTATTTTTAAGAAAATTAAATCCAAAGCAACTGGAAGACCAATGGTTCTCTCTTCCTAATTCTTCAGACCCATGCTGTTCTATAATTTCCTCTGTCAAACTCAAGTTGTTTGTAACAGTTTCCTCTCTCCCCAAAATGCTCAATCATTAATCAGAAGAAAAATGCGTAGATAACCATGGTGGGTGCAACCATCCAGGGTAACATGGTGTGGCCCTTAGAGAACACGCCATAGTGATTGATCTCTAGTGGAGAAACAAAAAAGATACCCAAAGCACAGTTAGGCTAAAAAACGGCTATATAGTAAAGGGCCTGAGGACCTGGGTTTGATGGCCAGTACTCCCCACCCCCAAAAGGGAAAGCTACAGAATATCCACATGCAATGGCCTCACATCACTTAGATTAAATGTACCATGGAATTTATCTCAACAAACACACACATACACACTGGAATTAGAAAATAAAATATATCCGTTACAAATTAGCTGGGAAGAGCTATCTGCAGGATCTAAATCTCTAAAGAGTATAATTACTTGGAACTTTGGCCAACTAATACATACTTTTCTGTAATCTTTCAGTTTTTTGCAACAGATTACTTTCTTTTCTTTTTGACAGCACTGGGGTTTGAACTCATGGTCTCACACTTGCTAGGCAGGCGCTCTACCACTTCAGCCAGTCCACCAGCCAATGGATTACTTTCATAAAGTTTTGTTAGGAAAAAACTTGAATCAACCAAAACTTTGATAATTCAGCCATTTCTTTATATTAAGCAGATCAAAATCAAAGAGCATACCTGTTTCAGCAAACTTTTGACATTACCAGAGATAATGTGTTGACAAATGAGCTTCTGAACCACTGGGTGTGATGCCCTGTCAAGTTGTGTCAGGAAACCCAAACAAAAGCCCTAGAGAGAAAACGTAACTATGCTTAACACAAATTGTCCCTCTGTAATAGCACCCCTATTTATTTCAAGAATGAAATTCAACCTTTTGGGTGGTTCTATTTCTCAGAACCAACTTTAAGTATGATAAGGTGATTAAAAAGGAAAGGGTGGCTCTGGTAAAATGATTCTGGGCTAATCTGACTAGTATACGAATCTCATTCCCATGGTGAGCCATTCACTCCACTCCCAAATCAAACAGAATTAAGAAGACCTCATAGAGAGAGCGCTGGATATTGCCACATGGATTGGAGGCTGCAAATCGCAAGGCTCTGCAGAGAGTCCGAAGGCTATAGTGAGGTCTGTGGCCAGTCCCATCCACCAACTTGGTCCCAGAATCTTTCCGCAAAGCTGTGTAGAAGCTATGAAGAGAATGAAGTTCAGATAAACTAATTAATTGTATTAAATTATTGATTATTTTGCTGTTGTTCCCACTTACCTACAGAATCTCCAAGGTGATTTTTATACATCAGAAATGGACAGGGTTCTATACCAAGATTAACTCAAAATGGATCAAGGATCTTAATATCAGACCACAAACTCTAAAGTTGATACAGGAAAGAGTAGGAAATACTCTGGAATTAATAGGTATAGGTAAGACCTTTCTCAACGAAACCCCAGCAGCACAGCAACTAAGAGATAGCATAGATAAATGGGACCTCATAAAACTAAAAAGCTTCTATTCATCAAAAAAAATGGTCTCTAAACCGAAGAGAACACCCACAGAGTGGGAGAAAATATCTGCCAGCTATACATCAGACAAAGGACTGATAACCAGAATATATAGGGAACTTAAAAAACTAAATTCTCCCAAAACTAATGAACCAATAAAGAAATGGGCAAGTGAACTAAACAGAACTTTCTCAAAAGAAGAAATTCAAACAGCCAAAAAACACATAAAAAAATGCTCACCATCTCTAGCAATAAAGGAAATGCAAATTAGAACCATGCTAAGATTCCACCTCACCTGTTAGAATAGCCATCATCAGCAACACCACCAACAACAGGTGTTGGCGAAGATGTGGGGAAAAAGGAACCCTCTTACACTGTTGGTGGGAATGTAAACTAGTACAACCACTCTGGAAAAAAATTTGGAGGCTACTTAAAAAAGCTAGACATTGATCTACCATTTGATCCAGCAATACCACTCTTGGGGATATACCCAAAAGACTGTGACACAGGTTACTCCAGAGGCACCTGCACACCCATGTTTATTGCGGCACTATTCACAATAGCCAAGTTATGGAAACAGCCAAGATGCCCCACCACTGACGAGTGGATTAAGAAAATGTGCTATCTATACACAATGGAATTTTATGCAGCCATGAAGAAGAATGAAATGTTATCATTCGCTGGTAAATGGATGGAATTGGAGAACATCATTCTGAGTGAGGTTAGCCTGGCCCAAAAGACCAAAAATCGTATGTTCTCCCTCATATGCGGACATTAGATCAAGGGCAAACACAACAAGGGGATTGGACTTTGAGCACATGATAAAAGCGAGAGCACACAAGGGAGGGGTGAGGATAGGTAAGACATCTAAAAAATTAGCTAGCATTTGTTGCCCTTAACGCAGAGAAACTAAAGCAGATACTTTAAAAGCAACTGAGGCCAATAGGAAAAGGGGACCAGGAACTAGAGAAAAGGTGAGACAAAAAGAATTAACCTAGAAGGTAACACAAACGCACAGGAAATCAATGTGAGTCAATGCCCTGTATAGCTATCCTTATCTCAACCAGCAAAAACCCTTGTTCCTTCCTATTATAGCTTATACTCTCTCTACAACAAAATTAGAAAAAAGGGCAAAATAGTTTCTGCTGGGTATTGAGGGGGTGGGGGGAGAGGGAGGGGGTGGAGTGGGTGGTAAGGGAGGGGGTGGGGGCAGGGGGGAGAAATGACCCAAGCCTTGTATGCACATATGAATAATAAAAGAAAAAAAAAATGGACAGGGTTACATACAACTTCCTAAAACACTCATTAAAACCTCTCAATCTTTTTCAAATCTTTTTCATATACTCAAAGGGTACTTTAAAACAATAAAATGAAGATCTATCAATTTCCTTTGGGAAATCAGAAGTATGAGGTGCAATTCCTCTAGCAAAAAGGTATCAAGAAAGATAAGTGAGAAATGTCTCTTTAAGACAGGAAGATCTAAGAGAGCCTTAGCCAGAACATACGAGCCAAGTGTTCCAGGGCTAGCTCTAACTTGAACAGAACATCAAGCCCCAACATAGCACAGTGGTGCTGAATAAACTCAGAGTGCTTTGAAAAACTGTAGAGAAGGCTATATTCACCAGTTACAAAGCAGGAAGATATGATTATCACTGGCATATATTACCACTATCATATTTCTCAGTTCAGAAGACAAGATAGAAGTAGTTTTGGATTGAAACATGAACTTCTCACACTTCAAAATCTTGTGAAATTAACAATTAACTACCACAAGATCAAATGTAACCAATGAGTGTCAGATGAAATCCAATTTCCTGCCCAAATGTGATATACCCTGCCTATCTGCAAGATAATCTTTCTTTGAACAAAGGCCTATTTGACTAACCCATTCAAAATAAGATTCCAGGCCTCATTTTCTAACACTCTACTCACTTTTATATTTTTTCTTCAATTACCACAACTCATTTATTGGTTATCGTCACCTCTGTAATTCAAGCTCCATGAGAAGAACCAGATTTTGACTATCTCTACTACTGAGGCACTCAAAAAATAGTTGCTGAAGAAATGAGGAACAGGGGCTGGGGATGCACCTCAGAGGCAGAGTATGTACTGAGCATGTACAAGGCCCTGAGTCTGATTTCCAACACTACCGCAAAGGAGTGGGAGAATCACAAAATGCAAAGTAAAATGCTAATGAGATCATACTTCAACCCCTTAATGAACTGTATTTCTTGATGATGTTGTTACATACAAAGTTAATTAAATGATTTGGCCAGAATGATACAATTAGCTTCTAGTGCCAATACTATTGCACTTTTTCTACATGGCATACAAAACATGGAAAAGAGACTCAAATTAAAGTACCAAGCCATACTACCACTCTATAATTTATTCAGCTAAATATTAATCCTAAATCTCACTCAATCTATTATATTAACCTTCCTCCCTCATATCTCACCTAGCTAATATGCAAATTATGGGTAGAAAAGATTTCATCAACAAAGATCAAAATACAAGCCATTGACATCTCATCTGCAGTTCAAACATCCACCTATGAATACAGAGGTAATGCAGAGAGCAGTATCTAATTGTTTCCACATCCTCAGGGGAGTGGTTCTTAGTATTAAAGGCAGTTTCCTTAGGAAAACATAAAAGGGTTCTTAGAAGAGTCCAACTTTAAAATGGAAATCTAAATAAAAATCCTGTGTCAGTCCTCTCCAGTTAGAAGAAGAAAAGAAAAACAAAAGTAGTATCTGCACATGGAATATAATTTTATGTTCACAGAAAAAAATATAGAGACAAGCCATAGAAAACTTACTTTATGATTCCTTGCACTGTGTTCTTATTTACACTCAATCCTTTCAAATAATCCACAATAAGTATTTGTAAGTCTTCTTTACTTTCTAATTCTTCTACATAAAGTTCTGTGAACCTAGAAAACATTTATTATAAAATACCTACTTTTTAGGAAATTAATACAGCTATACTGACAATAGAAAATGTAAGACAAGTCACATACACTCATTTTAAAGGCTTGTAATATAAAACACAAGTCTTTTGCTTGAGATGCAAATGGATCATAATGAAACAAAAGGTACGTAGCTGTCACCAACAATATGATTACTAGTTCTAGGCAATAAATCTTTTACATAAAATGTTTGCACAAAGAAACAGTTACAAAACAAAGACATTTATCACCATTTTTATGTGTTTTCTTAAATCATAACTAAGCTACAAAATATATGGGTAATGAAAAATAAGCCCCATATCATCAAAAATTAAATGATAAGCAAAAGAAAAAAAAATACTTTAGTGTGGTTTCTAAAATTTCCCTATGAAAATGGACATAAGGGATCTAACAGATTTTTACCACTACCTTAGAACTTGAAATGAAAAAAAAAAAATTTACCAACAATAAATTTGGTGATTTATCTCTTCCTAAGTTTTACATGGACGAAATATTTACTTCATGTCAGTGCTTAGTGACAGAAAATCCAAAGAAACTTAAAAGACCTTTTACGGATCATTAGCATCATCCAAAGAGGACGTCATCCCTAATAATGCACTTAATGGTGTTATAATGTTACTCTTATTATTATTATATATGAAACTTTATTACTGCTAAGAGGCTATTTGAAGAAATATTTTGTTTTCAATAATACTCATGAACTGTTAAGTATCATACTAATAACCAAAGAAAATGATTTTCCAGTGTTCTAGACTTTGTCATATGCCTACAACCTATAGAAATTATAAAGGAATATAACAAATAAGAAAAGTAAGATTCCTTTAACAGATACTAAGAAACTTCAAGCATTATTTTGAAGTATGGTTATACTGACATTGCCAATGAATAAAGAAAATGAAGTTTAAAACCTTACCTGTTTCTTATTCCTGGTGGGAGATTTCTTTTGCCTACATCAGTAGCTGGATTCATGCATGCAAATAAGCGGAAGTCAGGATGACGAACCAGTGGCTCTATTAAGAAAAAATTAGACATTTTCAACAACCTGTAATAATCAAATGACAAACCACAGATCCCCAAGTGAAGACTATTCAAATTCACAGCAACTCTGCCTTACAATCAGCCAGGCTGCTCAAATGGTCCTTGCCTTTTCTGAAACCCTACTGATCACTTTGCAGACCTATGTATACAACTTAACCCTATTCTGCCATTCCACTGTTTTATGGTATGTTTGTTCACCGTTAATTATCGTTTGTCACCCATTCACCCATATGTATTTATTTTGCCAACGTGTGTATACAGATCTACCCACAACCCAAATGTGTTAATGAATTATTTTATTCTTCTTTGCCTTTCCAATGCAACCTAACAACAGTTCAATGTACATCACAGGAACTTAATTTCTAAAGTATAAACAAATCCCACTGGGAGAGCCATATAATCCACTTAACCAAAAGACCTGGCATCAAGTCAAAAACCAGGGGATCAAATGCTACCTGTGTCTCCTCGATCAAGCAACACCAAGGAGCCAGAGGATCCTTCAAGCAAACCACTCAGACATTCCAATGTTTCAGGAGCAGCCAGGTTAATCTCATCCAACAAGATCCACTCTCCTTTCTTTACAGCCTGAGCTAACGTACCCTAGAAGAAGGTAAGATAAAAAGTTAAGATTGCATTTCAAATAAAGACACACTAACTAGGAGCAGTTTATACAGGTGAGTTAGAAACTGAGGCAAATGCAATTTCCCCCACTTGAGGAACCTACGCTTTAACTGCCAAATGGATGCCACCAAGTCCGCAAAGTTAAGACTAAGTTAATTTTGTAAGTATCCAAAAAGTTATCAAGGGAGTATCTCTGCATGAAATGCAATAAACTAAATTCTCTCACTCCCTGGATATTCAAATAAATGGTAACTTATAATGTATTCAGGTGTTTAACAGCATCCCATTAGCTATAAAGAGCACCCAAATTAAATACAGAGTTAGGCTATGAGCACACCAAGGCCAGATACATGTCCTAATCAAGAGTGTGTCCTGGTTCAAAGACATAAAGTTGCTAAAGAGTATCAAAATGAATATTTACTCATGTCTAGTCCACTAATGGTATCTGTTAAAGCTTCAGTGCCAAGAACAATAAAAACATCTTACAATTCACTTGGTTGATGTGTCAACTGAGTACTAATTCTAACAAAAAAATCTTCTACAATGTGAACTGAGAAAACTAGAACAAATGTAATACTTTAGTGTATTAATAAAGTCACAAAACATAAGCCTTATCTTGAGAGCCCTTTACATTTTAATTGGTTATTACAGAAACAATCATATTAAGTACAGATGACCAAATTTTCTGCACATGAACATATGATTAAGTGAACCTTCTCAAATACCCACATTCTTAACTGTCCAGTAGCATATTCTAAAGAGTTTCACAGAAATAAAAGTGGAAGTATGGTTCAACTGGTCAATCACCTACCAAGCACAAAGTCCTGAGTTCAAACCCTAATATCTTTAAAAAAAAGTTTCATAAAAATAGTTTTAAAATAAAGGCAAAAAAGCCTAGCTCGTGAGAGTTTAATCAAGTCGATCCTTCCTAGAATCAAATGGGGCACTGGAATGAACGAGCCTCCAATTCTCCTCCCCCACCTTCCCCTCTGCGCTCACTCCCGCTCTCACTCACTCTCTCTCTCTCTCTCTTTCTCTTTCTCTCTCTCTCACACACACACACTCTTCCACATTTGCACTTTGCTTGGAGCTTGGACTTGATCTCATGTTGAGCCTTTGCCCCTGTGTGTGCTATATCACCTCTCCAACCCTCCATACACATAGGAATATGAAAGAATATCATGATTTGTTTACAGTTGCATCTTTAAACATAATTGTGCTCCTCAAATTCTTAAAAACACAATGAACATTTAAAAACATCTTCTCCATAAATCATTATTTCACTAAGTGTTTTCTAAGTCTTAAACAGTAAGCACTTAAAAACAACCGAAAGAGAATACAAAACAGTAACCTGACACAAACTCACATTCTGCATCAAGTCCACATTACCTTAACCTAAATAATTAAAACAAAATACCTCTACAAATGCAAACAAAAGGGTATTTTCAGTCATCTTCATCTGTTGTTGGGCATGACTGAGTCTAAGACCAAATGCTTCCCATTTCTCCTTTAGGAGTAGCCCTAGGAAAGAATAAGAATTTAACACATATGTTGAATTTTATTACTTTATATAGAATGTTTAAGTACATAAATCATATAAATAATGAAATAACAAAAACTAAGCATCTTAAACAAAATTTAAAAAGCCAAACCTGAATACTCATATAATGCTATGATCCCACCACTATACTAATTAGTTCACTTCTATGCACACATATAGGTACTTGTTAATTCATCTTCCCTTGGGATGGGGAGGTAGTTAGGTAGTAGAGTGTTTATCTAGCATACACTAGGCTCTGGATTTGATAACCAGCACCAAAAGAAAACATTTTCTCAGGGCCAAGTACAGTAGTTAATACCTTTAATCCCAGTTACTCATGAGGCAGAGATGAGGTGGACTGAATTGTGAGGCCAGCCCAGACCAAAAGGTAAAATGTTAGTGAGACCTTATCTCAACCAATAAACTGGGCATACTTGTATGCCTCTGATTCCAGCTACATGGGAGTCCATTTGGATTGCAGTCCAAGGCCAGTTGAGGCAAAAAACGTAAAACCCTATCTGAAAAGTAGCTTTAAAAAACAGATAAGGAACACAGAGAACTTAACTAAGCTACCAAAAGCTCCTTTAAAGTGCAGCTTTTCAAAACCAGGCTGTTTCTTAGGAAACATGAGATAAGAGCTGCTAAGCAGTACATATACACTAGTCTTAAGAGCCATCTGAGTTGCAGGAATCAGGCCTTAAAGCATGGCAGCAGCTACTCTTCTAAACCAGTCCCCCATGCCGTAAGTCCTAGAATACGCCCATCTGTATTTCCTATCCTTCCCCCAAACTCTTCTTAGTCCTGTTGATTGAACCCAAGCCTCATGCCTTGCCAATAGCAGTCTGGGCTATACCCTTACCAGCATCACTCTCCTTTCTTTCCTTGTTAACAGCAGACTTGTACACATGCTGCATTAGTCTGAGGAGATCATGCCACCGTTTCTGTCTATAACAAGTCTGAATGTGACCCAAGAAAGTAAAGTTTTGTCTTTTGGAAAACGTCTGGGCAAAGAGTTCCTCAAATGCTTCTCGTAAGGGTAGCCAAATAAGCTTATGGTCCACCGGCTTATACCTGAAACAAAAAGTAAGTGTGATTCACAAACTTCTAAAGTTAACAGAAATTGGAAGGACCTGAGAATAATCAAAATCAGAAATAAGAACAAAATACTTAAAATCTACATTAAAGTTTTTTTGGCAGCACTAGGGTTTGAATTAAGTGCCTCAGGCTTGCTAGGTAGGCCTGAGCCAATCGCCAGTCCCCTAAAGTTCTAATTTATAATCTATTCTCCCACTCCACATGTTTGAAGGTAAAACTATTATTAGCTTAATAGTATTATTGAAATTTGAAATTCTGAGTTGGACAATAAAAGGTATATCATTTATTTTACCATGTTTAAATAAATATGTATTAATAAATATGTATGGGACATAAACCATGTTTTAGTAAGACCAAAAAAGTTTTCAGAAGCCAGGCACAGTGGCTCACACCTGTATTCCCAGCTACTTGAGAGGCGAAGGTAGCAGGATCATGGTTTGAGGCCAGTCTAGGCAAAAGGTACAAGAACCTATGTGAAAAATAACTAAAACAAGAAAGGGACAGAGTATGGCTCAAGAGGAAGAACTCCTACCTAGCAAGTATAAGGCCCTGAGCAACAACAACAAAAAAATATTCAGGACACTTTAGAAGAAAAACACAACATCTGAAAATGATAAAGCCAATCTATGTATTCTCTGTTGGAGAAGGAGTACAATATTGTTCCTCATGGGATGCAAATTAGTAGGGGAGAAAAACATTAGTGGGGCTCAGGGGGGTGCACAGAAAATCTTAAGACACCTGAATGGTTTATGGCCATCCAAAGCTCAGCTTTCAAATCTTACTATTTAGATCCCTTCTTATTCCTTAGCATATAATTTCTCTAGCTAGGGAAATAAATCAATATGAATTTAATATTGGGGTGAAGGAAGATAACAGGGGAAAAAGTCCAGAAACACTGTTCTTGCTAAAAGATGAGCTGGCTCAAGCAGAATGAAATGTTTCTTGAAACTCTTTAAATATGGAACTTTCTGTAGCCTAAGATAGTAAATGCTACAATTCAAGGGCATGAGATAAATTTTATTTCCTAGAAAAATTTAGGTTAAAAATTGAAAAGATGCCAAAATACATGACAGAACAATCAAGCATAATAAAAGAATTTATGGATGACTAACTACTCGCTGGCCCGTGAGGAGGGACCAGTGACCTGCATAAATACCCAATGGCCTGATTCTAAGCATCTATGATGAAGTCAGGTTCCAGAGAGAGGTATGGGAACATAAAACTCATTTCACTTAACTCATAAGCACTAGCACACTGATGAAGACATTTCTTTACTCCACTTATTCAACAAAAATTTAATGAGCACTTACTGTGTTAGGCATTGAGTCAACAATATCCAAAAGATCCTGTTCTTACATAGCTTACAATAAAAGAGACAATAAAGAAATACATCTATAACGAAAAGATGTAATCACTTTAATAAATGAACTCAATGTGTATAATCTTGTTTCATTCTGCTTGGGCAAGTTATCTTACAGCTACAGCAGTTATCGCTCAACCCTTTCCCATTATCTTCCTTCACTCCAATATTAACTTAAAATATAAAGTGTCAAGCAGTGAGTAAGTGCTGTTAATATAAAGAAGGGCAAAGGAAAAGTAGGTGATGGGGCACTGGAATTTCAATATCACAGTCAGGGAAGCTTTACTGAAGAGGGGACACATGAAAGAGACCCTAACCAAACAAGGAAGTGAACTAAGTGGTACCTGTGGGCAACAGGAGATGCCATGCAGTAGGAACAAATAGTGAATGTCTAGCAAGGTACAACACGAAGGGGAGGAGCTAAAGTTCAGCAGCATGGTAAAGGAGGGAGATTATACCAGAAGTGCCAGGGCCAGATTATGTAGGGCCTCATAGGCCAAAATAAAGTCTTTGGTTGTCTTCTAAATGATCTGAGAAAGTAGTGGACGGATTTAAGGAAGATAGTGATGTGATCTGATGTCCCTCTAGGGATTCATTTTAGCCAGACATAGTTGTACAACCTATAGTTTCAACACTCAGAGGCTGGAGAGGAGGATCATGAGTTTGAGGTCACCCTGGGGTACACAGTAAGACCTCATCTCAAAATAACAAAAGCTTAAGGAAATGAGTCACTGTAAGTACTAAATGAAAAAAATACTATAGGAGTTAGGAGTAGAAGCCAAGAGAAAAGACCAAAGAACTTGACCAGGCAAAACATGGGCTAAAATGACAATGGAAGTAGTGAGAAATTAAACAAAATACATATCACTTAAATGTAGTCTCTGTGCCTCAGTTCTCTCATGCATAAAGTAGAAAAAATAACTGTGCCTCATCCAACAGGGTTAACATAAAGGTCCAAATAGTGCCTGGTACATAATAAATGCCATAAAGAGTCAGCTGTTACAATAACTAGTAGTAGAAACTGGCTCTGCTATTACCAATCTAATGAATTTACAAGAGAAATTGCTTAATATTTCAAATTAGACTGATTTCACTAAAAGAAAAGTTGGTTTAATTAAAGCTGAACACTGGTGGAAGCACAGTTTAGTCAATGCATATTTCAACTAATGAAAAACTGAAAGGCTGGGGATGTAGCTCAGTGGAGAGCACATGCTTAGTATTAATGGATTAATCCCAGCACCCCACACATACACACAAAAGAAAATTAAGAAAACACATACACACATCTCACATCAGAATATACATGCCTGGAAGCAAGGGCGGATGAGGGGGAGAGGGTGGGAGCAGGAGACAAGTGGGAGAAATGACCCAAACAATGTATGCACATGTGAATAAGTGAATAATAATAATAAAAAAAAGAATATACACATCAACTGCAATAAACTCAATGAAAATCAACTTGACATCAGGTTGCTTTATAACAAATTATTATGAAGCAAAGTTTCTCAAGTGTCTTTTTCAAAAAAGGTATGTTAAGACAAACTTCAATGACAAGAAGATGTGGGTGCAAAACATCTACCTCAATAGAGAATAACTTGCTACCCATGATCCCATAATACACACTGGAACTACATTTAAGAAAGAGTTCATTAGAGCTTGGCACAATGGCTCATGCTTATAAGCCCAGAGGATATGGAGAGACTGCAGACCAAGGCCTGCTGGGAAAGAAGTGTTGATAAAACCCCATCTCAACAACAACAAAAAAGGTGGGAGAGATGATGCATGCCTATCATCCCAGCAATGTGGAAAGCCTAAGTGGAGAACTGGGTCTAGACCAGCTCAGGCACAAATACAAATCCTTATTTCAAAAATAACCAAAGCAAAAGGGGCTAGAGATCCTGAGTTCAAATCCCAGTTTAGCAAAAAAGAAGAAGAAGAGAACAAGAGTTCATCTGAAGGTGGCTCATGCCTAAAATACCAACTACTTGGGAGGTAGAAATAAAGAAGATCGCACAAGGACATGCACCTGTAATCCCAGCTACACAGGAGGCATAGGTAGGAGGGCTGTACTTCAAAGCTAGCCACTGAAAAAACCAGGAGATCTTATCTAAAAACTAAAGCAAAAAGGACAGAGGGTGTGGCTCACACAATAGAGCACTTGCTGAGCAAGCACAGGCCCTGAGTTCAAAGCCCAGTATTCCCAAAAGAAATAAAAAGAAGAGTTTATCTCAAAATGGCTAACCCAAAAGAAAATGATTTTTCAAGCTAATAATAGAGTAAGTGAAGAACAAAAAATGTAAAAGAGACACATAGAACAGTATATGCTAAGTAATGAAAACAAGCAATGATGAAATGCCATTTCTTTATGTCACGGTAGAGTTCTGAGTTCACAGATCCATTATGCCCTCTTCTCTGCAATTTCTTTTAAGAGTGGTTCCATAGGTGGCAAGGAAAATGCAGGTGGGACATTTTACTTGATTTTGTTTAATTTTTCTCAATCTTTTTCTTTCCTTCTCCACACTGGTATCCTAGAGTCAATACTATGAGCCTGTGCTCTGTATTTTGCCACTTAGCGTTAGAATTTCACGAAAGTGATTTTATTTGCTATGTCTAAGTCTGCTGTCCTCTTTCATGAAATCTCTTTTTTTTTTTTTTTTTGCCATATTGGGGTTTGAACTTAGGGCCTACACCTTTAGCCACTCCACCAGCCCTTTTCTGTGACAGGTTTTTTCGAGACAGGGTCTTGCAAACTATTTTCCAGGGCTGACTTCAAACCGCATTCCTTCTGATGTCTCCCTGAGTAGCTATGATCACAGGTGTGAGTCACCAGTTCCAGGCTCATGGAATCTCTTAAGCTTATTCCATTCCCAACTCTCTAGCAATTTGTTTTCAATGTCTACCCACAGTTGATGTAAAGGCCTAAGTGCTGCCCACCAGAAGCCTACTTTAAAAGAAATGACAAAAATGAGTTATATATGAAGGGAGGAAGAAAAAGACGTTATCATGCTAACATTGATTAAAAAGCAAAGGAGTAATATGCACTAACAAAGATTAGAAGACAATCTGCAGTAATATAAATAGTTTGATGGGCTTTAAATCTCTTAATTTTATGATGTCCTTACTTATAATTTTTTTTTTTTAAATCCTAAGGCCACATTTATTAAACCAGACTAATTAGTCTATAACTATCACCCCCTTCTTAGCCGGGCATGGTGGCCACATTTCTGTAATCCTAACATGTGGAAGGTGAAAGCCAGCCTGGGCTACATAGTGAGACCCTGTCTCAATTAAAAAAATTAAAAAAAAAAAAGCAAAAACCTTCTATTTTTAAATATAATATTTGATATTTACCAAATACCTTCAACATAAACTATAAAATAGATAAAACTGAGCCAGACACTGTTGGCTCACATCTGCAATTCTAGTTACTTGAGAGACTGAGACGGGGAGAATGAAAAGTTCAAGGCCAGCCCAGGCAAATAGTTCCCTGGACTCCCATCTCCAAAATAACCACAGGTGGTGTGGTTCAAGCAGTAAAGCATCTGCTTTGCAAACTCAAATCCCTGAATTCAAACCCCAGTCCCATCAAAAAACAGAAAACATCCTAAGAATAGGAATATTACCCCTTCCTCATTCCATCTCGTTGCTTAATTATATTTCCCTTGACTTTGTCAAAACTATTGTTTTGAAAAACAGAAATGAGTCTTTACTCTTGTTTCCAGTTTTATCCTGTCACACTAAAGCAAATCCTTGCTTATAAAAAAACAAATAAAAAAACTACTGGGCTTCCCACCTTACACACAGTGATTCTTAAACAAGGAGTCACCTATACATCTACAATATGATATACATTTATACTCAAACCACTTTCTAGTAATATAAGCATAGAAAACTATGTACAGTTTTCTCTTGGCAACTGATATTACCCTACTGACAAGAAAAAGCAGATGTATTCTATTCACTGAGGCAGCACCAAAACAAAAATTGTAGTTCATCATATCGATTATAAATCCTTTTGCATTGTCACTTGTATCAGGGAACAGATGGGCTCCTGTGTACTCAAAATATTTAAAACAACTTGCAATGGCTAACATACAACTACAGATTTGTAGGGGAAGAGATGAACCTAGCCCATATTCAATTAGTACAAGATTAATGCCATTTGTGTCAGGAATATTTAAAAGCAGGAAATTCCTAAAGATATATACAGATACAGAATACAGAGAAATACACAATAGTATAATAGACCTGCAGAAGAGTCTGTGTACACTGAAGACAGTATAACTAGAACTTACTCATTACGTCAACTGTACTATATATACAAACATGTATATACAAGTCTGGTTTTTACTTCTCCTTTCCAAGTATCATCTTTGAGAGCAAGGACTTTAAACAAGTATTTTTTAAAATGAAGAGAAAAAGCTACACAAATAAGAGATTCTCAATAAATTCCAATTGAGGAAGGGGTACATTTGAACAGCCCACCCCCCAGGCTGGTTGTAAGATACTCTTTTCTTATCTCAGAAAAAAATTTTAACCCACACTTACCCTCCAAGTAAGTCTGCAATATCACTTTGTTGATTCATATTAACAACCCTCAAACGATGGCCTTTAAAAAAAGATAGGGAAAAAGAGCTATTCCAAACACTTAAACGCATTTAGTAATATCCAGTGTACTTCTTAAGGATGTAGGGACATGGCATGGGTCAAATTTACAAATATCCATTTTACTTTCAAGAATCTCAAATTTTTCAAATAACCCAGATACAGATCTATACAGAACAACAGTCACTACTACACTGTCTTATCATCTGATAGCTAAACGACAAAAAGATTCCTCAATAAGTTAATGTCTATAAATTAAGACTAAATAAATGAGCATAGTATGTAATATTATTTGGCCATTCTTTTAAATTGGCCAATTTGCTTAACTAAATGCAACATGTAGCTTATAATCCCATTTGTTTCAAAACAAAACCTATTATGTACATGAATTTGTATAGCATAAACTAAAATAATACCAATCTGTTAACAGTGATTATTATCAGGGCAAGAGACTGCTTATGGATTAAGATACTTTTTAAATTCCAACAGTCTTTAGACTTACTACTTAAAAAGAAAAGTCAGCATGAAATGTTTGGGTGCAGTAATATCCCTCCGAAAGTTACCTGTAATATGAGCCAAGTATTGGACAGTAGAGGTTTTGCCGGTCCCTGTCTCACCCACGAGCAACACAGGCTCCCCTTTGCTGACACACACAGCAAGCTGTTCAATGAGAACAGAGGATGGCCGAGTAGCAGCAAAAGTAAGCTTCTCCCTACAAATGGGAAAAAGGAACTGAGAAGTCAGGCTGGGTCAGGCCGGGTAGGGCATATCTATAATCCCAGCTACTTGGGAAGCTAAGGGCAAAAGGATCACAAGTTCAAGATTAGCCCGGGCAACTCAGGAAGATCCAATCTCCAAAAAAAAGCACTAGGAATGTTAGCTCAGTGGTAGACCACTTGTCTACCACATGATCCCAGCACTGAAAGAAACAGTCTAAAAAAGTAAGGCTGAAGGAACCAGATTTTCCAGGTCAAAGAAAGAAAAATGAGAATAAAAAAGGTCAGAGAAATTGTCTGCATGCTCTATCAGATATTCCTACAATGTATGAATTACAAAATTAACTTGTTCTGCAAACACTGGCTATTCAACACCTACTAAAGTGATAGATTCTGAATATTCAAAGTATTAGTTAGACAAGATATTAAATTGTCTTGAGTAAATCCCTCAACCTATGTTCTGTTTCTCACCTGTAAAACATGTACAATAGCATCAAATTGTAATGCACTGAAGTCTTACCCTATGTGACTTATTTTGAAATAGAATCATTACAGATTTAATCAAGTTAAGATAAGGTCATACTATATCAGGGTAGACCTTAGATTCAATGGCTGATGTCCTTTTAAGATGATTTGGAGGCACAAACACACATTAAGAAACAAGAGACAGAGACCAGAGTAAGAAAGCTTTAACCTAAAGAGCACCAAGACTGCTGGGAGAATAAAAGAACAGAAAGAAGAAAGAAAGTAGCTGGGCAATGGTAACTCATGCCTGTAATCCTAGCTACTTGGGAGGCTGAGATCAGGAGGATCATGGTTCAAGGCCAGTCCAGGCAAATAGTTCACAAGAACCCATTATCAACTAGAGCAAAATGAACTGGAGGCATGGTTCAAGCAGTAGAGCACCTGCTACGTAAGTGCAAATCCCTAAGTTCAACTGCAGTCCCACCAGAAAAAAAACAAAACAAAACAAAAACAAAAACAAAGCAAGAAGGTGTTCTTCCCTAGACCATGGCTCTGTCAACACCTCAACTGCAAACTTGTGGCCTCCAGAACTGTCAGACAATAATGGCAGTTGTTTAAACCAACAATGTTTATGGCAATTTGTAATGACAATCCTAGGACACTAACAAACCAACTTTTAAGAGTATTATAACAACTATATAAAAAAGCAAATACAAGGCACTCAACACAGTAAGAAACATCACCTAGATCTTGGAATCTTAAATAATTTGAGCCTCTAAGGGATTGATAAACTGTTAAGAGTGTGACTTCCAACTAAGCCTTGCTTCACTAATCAAACAATAGCAAATAAAATCAAGAATTCAACTTTTTAGTCCCTAAAGGCTTTCACTGCTCCCTTCACCTACTAAATCTACTTACACAGAACATACTTTGTAAAAACACGGCTCCTTACTACACAGCACATTGGAGAGATCACAGTTCAGGCAAATGTTTTGCTCAAGAATAGGGTCTGGATTAGGCCTTCTCACAAATTCCTGACAACTCCTCAGGTTAGTTTAGAACCCTACTTACTTCTGTACGTGAACAGCCTCACTTTGTTTCCGAAGAAGCCGCACTCGACCTACTTGCACATCTAGCTCATTAATCACAATTTCTGGTTTATAAAGTTGACAGAAGAATTCAGCCTGTGGGAGGGAAAGATTTCAACTGAATAAAAAATCTGCATGCTCTTTGAACAATTCTTTATCTATACAGGCATTATCAGACCTCTATCAAAAGAACTGTCTAGCTGGTAGAATGGCTTAAGCAGTAGAGCACCTGCTTAAGAAGTATGAGGACCTGAGCTCAAACCCCAGTAATGCAAAAGAAAAAAAACACTATCTACTTCCAAGAAAGGTTAGTTACCTTTTAATCAAGGGATTTTCCCCCTCAAGTTTCTTATGTTTTTTACATCAATCAGAATTTCCTGAAATGGTACTTTTACTCATTCAAATAAGCCTCTGCTTATAATCTAAAGTGAACATGTTGACATTTTCTAATAGAATGAACAATTAAAAAAAAAAAAACAAAGTAAATTTTTCTTCAACTATGCTTTCCACTGCTTTAAATTTCTAACATAAGGCAGGCATGGTGGGGGAGACCTATAATCCCAACACTCAGGAGGTTGAGGCAGGAGGATTGAGAGTTCGAGGCCAAACTAGGTTATATAGTGAGATGTTGTCTACAAAACAAAACAAAAAGAATCTCTAACATAGAGCAAGTCTATCTGACTATATAGGGAAAGCAAAAAGAGAAGCTGTAGCAGATGCTCCTGGATGTCTAGCCATTTATCTCTTTACTCTTGGCACTAACTCAAAATAAATCAGATTTTGTTCACGTGTAAGCCAGAGTGAAAGGGACAAAATATTCAGGGAAGGAGAAACCCAACCATAACCAAAGGGGGTGAACTAAATGTGGTGGCTTCATTCCTATTGCTTGATGTATTGTTTAAGTCATTTTCAGTAAGGTGCCCTATGATCTACAGCGAAAACCATTCCTACTATAATTTCAGAAGCTGAAGAAACATCTCTGCTACTGCAGCTACTGATATAAGGCTTTGCAGAGTCATCACTCAAGTGGGAATGCCAGATATCAGGTTCTTGATGAACTCCAGACATTTCTCCAGTCACCAACCACACCAATAACACTACTGAAAAACTCTCTCCTCCAAAAATACATTTTTTCAGGGTGGTACCAGAGATTGAACCAAGCCTTGCACATGCTAATCACAAGCTCTACCACTGAGTTATATATACAGCCCCAAAAATACTTATTTTGAGCCAGGCACAGTGGCTCACACCTATGAACATGAATAAGAAGCAAAAACAGGAGGATCATGAACCAGGCTGACCATGATCAAAATGTGAGACCCTGTCTGAGAAATATTAAAGCAAAAAAGACTAAAGGTACGTTTCAAGTAGTAGAGTGCCTGCCTAGCCAAGTGCCAGGCTCTGAGTTCAAACTCCAGCACAGCCAAACAAACGAACGAACTTTTTTCTTTTTTTTGGCAGTACAGGGGTTTGAATGCAGGGCCTCACGCTTGCTAGGCAGGGGCTCTACCACTTGAGCCACTACACCAGTCCAAGGGTATTTTTGAGATAGGGTCACATGAATATTTGCCTGGGGTTCAAACCTCGATCCTCCTGATCTCTACCTCCTGAGTAGTTAGGATTATAGGTGAGCCACCAGTGCCCTGATGGAAAACACACATTTTGATACAAAATATGAATGATAAAATAGTAATAATATCAGTGAGGAACCTAAGTAGTGAGTATACAGGCATTTGCTGGTATTATGTTTTTTTTTCGGCTTTTCCAGAAACAGAGATAGAAAAAAATCTGTATACCAAACTATACACAAAGACGGCACTAATTCTTGACTTGAGTCTATAATCTACAGAATTAAAAGGTTAGCTGGGTGCAGGTGGCTCATGCTTATAATCTTAACTACTTGGGAGGCAGAGATCAGAAGGATCATGGTTCAAAAACCAGCCTGGGCAAATAATTCATGAGATCCGATCTCAAAAAACCTAACACAAAGAAAAAGGGGAGGTGGAGTGGCTCTAAGGTCCTAAGTTCAAGCCCCAGTACTGCCAAAAATAAATGAATGAATTAATTAATTAATAAATGAATAAAGTCACTAAAACACTGGAGAATAAAGTATGTGTATGATACAGGAAATGAGGAACCTCATTTGTAAGAGTGTAGAATCCATGGAGAACTACTTATGTAAGGGATACTGGAAGTTTTATGTCCATGACAGGCAGTAATAAGACCACAAACATTTACAGAGTGAACATGGTAAAAACTGTCCCACTCAAGGACCAAAGACCACCAAGCAAGCTAAATATTCCAGCATTCTTTCTATAGGAAAAGCAAAAATAGCACCCCATACCTTTTTCTTAGAAATGTTCAATTTGCTTCCAATAACTTCTGCAATTTTCAGTTTGCTTAAATGCTCAGAAAGCATAGCTGTGAAACAATCCAGAGCCTATTGAGGTAACAAAGATAAACATCAACTGATTTTAAAAACAACACATTAAACACACAACTTCATTATCTTGACCTCAAGAGGGAGAACTTAAAATGCAGCAGGTACATTTCTGTAGGACTAAAGGACAAAAAAGGTACCAACCCTGGACACAGGACTTTACCAAAATGGAGAAAGAGGACCCAAATAAATTTGAAGGATGTCAATACTGGTGAAAGCAGAAAAAAACAAACAAAACCACTTCATTTTGCAAATCTTAACTTCAGACAAAAGAGGGCAATTTACTGTTAATCATCAGATATATGGTTCACAGAGAACTGACTCTCAGAGAGTGCTGACGTAACGCTAAAAGACTGTTTTCTAGCTGAAGAGCCTTATGCATGCTGAGCAAGTGTTCACAAATACCTGGTATGCAAGAGGGACCACTTGATCTTAGCAACTACCAGTAGCCACCAAACAGCTCTTCTGATGTGGTAAGGTATAAAGTATCACCAAAAATACACTCTACCCCCAAAAAGGTGAACTAGAAGTATTCTACTAAATTTCTGCTTGTAAGAAATACAAGCTAGATCGAGGTAAATGACATCATGAGTATCCCTTAATAAAGAACATTATCTATTTTTTGTTCTCAATTCTTTGCACATGGCTTCAAAAAAGCCCACGGAACTACTCAGGTGATAGTTTGTTATTCACAACAAGCCACTAAGGACCACATCTGAGTTTATGCTAATAGCAGTGTTATTAGCTACAGTGCCCTTACATCCTTTCAAGGGAGGGACTAGCTACACCAGAAGGCCCAAGCTCACGAACAAAGGGCTGAAACTCTCAGCAACATCCCCAACCTCTGAGAAGAGAGGGTTTAGTGACTGAGTTTAACTCATGTCCAGTGACCTAACAAACTTCTGGATTATTTCAACCAAAGAGAATTGCCCAACTAGTAATTTTCAGGAGCAGGGGTATACAGTCTCATATGCAAGAGACCCTGAGTTCTATCCCCAAAACTGAAAAAAAAAAAAAAAAAGGTGACTTTTCATGGTATATGGGTTATATAAATTTGGGCTTTTATTGTTTTTAAAGAGACAGGCTCTCACTATGTTGCACAGGCTGGCTGGCTCCAAACTCCTGGGCTCAAGAAATCCTCTTGCCTCAGTCTCCTAAGGTGCAGTGACAAAAAGCATGTGCCACTGTGCTCAGCTAATAAAGTGAGCTTAACACACACACACACACACACACACACACACACCCTACCCTCCTACCTACCAGGCATGGTAGTGCATGCCTGTAGCCCCAGCACTCCCAATACTGAGGCAGGAGGTTAGCAAATTTGAAGCAAGCCTGGGCTACATAGTAAGACCCTGTCTCATCACCAAATAAAAAAACTAAAATAGAAGAGAAATCCTACCAATGTCTCAATTTTATTAGAAAAGTACAAAATAGTGTTATAGCAAGAGCTGAGATGTGTGGGAGAAGGAGAAAGAAATTTCACTGGAAAATGAGGGACAAGAATATAGATTGACACACAGCATTTCAGGGGTTAGCTGAGCATAAGTGTGTAGTCCAAAGGAGGTTTTTTCCTACTCAAAGTCACTTCATCACAAACAGAGACGCTGCAAACCAAAATGAGTCACTACTCTCTCCTCAATACCAGCTGACAGGTATCAAAACACTTTATAATCAAAACTGGTCAACATTTTAAGAGCCTATAAATCCTCAGGCAGCACCACTTTTATTGCTAAACAGGAAGGAATAAATCGCACCTTGTTCTTAATGGAATTTGGTAGAGCTATACTATGAAAGGGCTCCCCTACTACACATTTTTTTCCTCAAGGTTATACTTTGTAATTCCCACATATCTTTTGCTGTACTAAAGATAAAAAGTCCTACAGAGGCAGGTAAAAGGATCAAACACAACTTATCAAATAAACTAAAAAATTATACATAGTGCTAGATAGTACCTATCTTGAGAAACACTTTATGGATTGCCACACTGCTCTACTACAAAACAGCTTTCTTTTCATTCTACCTTTTGATTTCACTATCTGTTTTACTCTACCTCAAGCCATACTATTGTTTTAAAAACTATAATACATTTATTATAAACAATTAGTTTTAAGGAAGCTTCAGTTCAGGGTTTTTTTTTTCTTTTTATTCATTTATTCACATGTGCGTACATTGTTTGGGTCATTTCTCCCCCTTTCAGTTCAGTTTTAACTAGCTGAAGATAATAAACTATTCCTAGACTAAAGAAAACTCTGATAGCAATCCAAAGACAGAATGGAATCAACAGCTTTAGAGCAAAGAGATAACTGATAAGAAGACTATATTCTTACCTCTTGAAAAATATTTAATGCTGCTGCTGAAGACGAACTATCAAAACTATGAGCAATCCTATTACACCAATTCAGCAGATCCCTTTAAAAAAAAAAAAAAAGGAAGAAGCTAAGAAATAAGACCATATGCCAACAGTCCTGGTGGTACATCTAGAATCTCACCTACTTGGGGGCCAAAGCGGGAAGATCAAGAATTTGAGCCTGGGCAAGAGAGTACAACTCTGTCTCAAAAATAAAATAAAAACAAACTAGCCAAGGGCATAGATCGAATGGCAAAGCATTTGCCTAACATGCACAAGAGCCTGGGTTCAATGCACAAGAGCCTGGGTTCAATCCCCAGTACCACAAACACCCAAGATCACAGGCCAAAAACATCAATTTATTTGACCCACTTAAGTTTAGGAACATGTGATAATTTCATCTCCACCTTTGTATCTGAAGAAAAGAAAGTATTACATGTGAGTCCTTATACTTATACCAGGAGGCAACCTATCACTCATTCCTCCCACAGCCATGCCAGAGTAAGAAAATGAAGGGAGTTGCCTGTTCCTAAATTGTACTTCTCAAAGAGCACTGAGACTGGAAAGCTGAGGCACACAGTCCACCACATAGAGCAAACTACCAGGCTCATTTAAGATCCCACATATGGGAGAGAGAGATGGTCTCACATTCTCCCATCCTCCTGCCTCAGTCTCCTAAGTGCTGGGATTAGAAGCATGCACCACCATACCTGTTTTTGTGTTCTTACTTTTAAAAGTGCAAAATAACATTATCTTCATTAAGCTTTCCCAATAAGTACCTACATATATGAAAAAAGTATCTGGCCCCATGTAGCAACCCAGAAGTTTAATTTCAAAACCCAACTTGTCCTAACAATTTAGTTGTAACTAGTAATTTTCAAAAAGGCTCCTTTTAAAATGGCAACTGAGAACGGTGTGTAGTCTAGTACCTTAGTGACAATTCCCTTCCCTCAAGGATTAGTCTTCTGTTTTCTCTCCTAGTTTCTGAAACTTCCTGGGATACCTGTTTGTATCCACTCAGATGGAGGTGTTTCTCTCCAGTAAGCTGGATATAAATGTCCAGCAGGTGATCAGCTGCTGCCAACAGACTTGGATATCTACTCTGAAGAACCTGACAGAGGGTGAAAAGAAAGGAAAAGTTAGGACCAGACACAATGATGTTTCAGAGTTCATACAGAGTTTAGGGTATAGGTCAGCAATAGGGTACTTGCCTTATACGTGCAAAGACCTGGGTTCCATTCCCAGTACAAAAAGGAGGAAAAAAGTACACACAAACTGACAATAGTCAATCAAAAAATGGATTTCTCTGTCCAATTTCTCATTTTATGAAGCATAAGAACTTTACCCTTACCTGCCTTTGCTCCCACTCACCCAAGTGATTGAGGACTACTTAGTATTCAACCTGGCAATCCTACTATCTATGACAGTGGAGGGAGTAGAAAATGGTAGAAGAGTATCCAAGCAACACATGAATTCAAATCCAAGGAATTTAGTCATTCAAGAATTCTTCAAGTACTGTCTACTCTAATTCTAAACATAATTCTAGGAATGTTCATAATATAAATCTCACATTAAAAAGCAAATTAGAAGCAGACCAGAATAAAAGAAGTTAATGTTAACTACTGAAGAAAGAAGCAGTTGAGGGGAGAGGATGTGTCTCAAGTAGTAGAGTGATTGCACAGCAAGCACAAGGCCCTGAGTTCAAACCCCAGCACTGCCAAAAAGACAAAAACAGAAACCAAACAAAAAAGCAACAAAAAGGCATTTGAACTTTAAAATGTAGTACAAGAATTTAAAAATTAAGAGTAAAATATCTAGTCCTATCACTTCAATGGCTACTGAAAATGTACTACAAGACAGTACTTGGCATTCATAATAATGGTTCCAAGGATTTATATGTTGATTTGTTCATAACTGTTTAAGGAGGGAATGAGAAATAATAACCACCCAATGAATGTCAGAGGGCTCAAAAAAAAGCTCATTATGAATCCAATTTGCACATAAATTGTTCACGTATTTTGTATGTATTTTTACATAATAGCCACATATTTGTAACATATAAAATTTATAACAGATACAGAACTAAAGCACTAATAGGTTCATCTCAAAGGGTGGATCCTAAAGATTCTGCTTCTTCATGACTTTTACTAAAAGATTTTACAACAAGGCCTATAATCCCAGCTTCTAGGGAGGCAGAGATTGGGAGGATCATGGCTGGACAACTGCCTGGGCAAAAAGTTACTGATACCCCATCTCAACAAACAAGCTGGGTGAGATGATATGAACCTGTAATTCCAGCTACACAGAAGGTATAGGTAGGAAGATTGTGGTGCAAGGACCACCCCAGGCAAAAACATAAGACCCTAGATAAGAAAATAACTAAAAATGAAAAAGGTTGGGGATGTGACTCAAGAGGTAGACTGCCTGCTTGCCTAGCAAGGCACTAAGTTCAAATAAATACGGCTTTAAAAAAAATTAGATGTAGTAAAAATAAAAATGACACAGAAGAGAAAGTAATGAAATTAACAAATTTCATGGATTTTTTTCACATAAGACGTAAATACACATTTGTCAGCACTCAGGCGGCTGAGGTAGAAAGATTACAAGTTTGAGGTCAGCCTGGGCTATATACTGAGACATCAAGTCAAAAAATCCAAAATATAATACGTATTTTTGTCAATGGAAAGAACATTAAATTGGTTCTATATTTAGGAATAAAGAAAACTTGTATTTTTCATAAGTCAGATTGTTTGTATAGGAGTTCAACAGTGCAAGATTCACGGCTGTAGGTGTAGAGTTTTGTAAGATGTGTATAATCGTGTATAACCGTTACATATAAGACACTGACAATTTCCTTCCATTTCATTCCTTTTATACCTTTGCCTTCCCCCACATCATGCCCCTGAGAATCATCAGTTTGACTCCCATCCGTCAGTGGTTTTGTCTTTTAAGTCTATCATACACATGGGACCATATAGGATATAGTCTCCAGTGAGGTTTCTTTGAACTAGCATGTTTTTAAAATCCACCTGGATATTACTGCATTTATCAGTAGTTCATTCCTTTTTACCGCCAAGTAGGAATTCCATTACATGAGCATAGGGAGGCTAAGGTAGGAGGATCATGAGTTCAAGGCCAGCCTGGGCTATATAGAGAGACTCTGTTTCAAAAATAAACTCTCTCGTTTCCTGGCCATTAGGTGAGCAGTTTGCACTGGTACATCTCCCTGCCACTGTCATACAAACAGCCAGCAGACATCCAAAACAATGGATCTGCCCAATCTTGGAAACTTCCAAAACTATAGGCCAAAATAAACCCTTGTTCTTTGTGTTCCCACCTCACAGCCTCCTCATGCATCTGTAAGGCAGTAGGAGCAAGAGATGATGGGAAGATGACCACGGAGTAACTTCACCCGCCATTATTCCAGGTGGATACACCTCAATGAACACCAATACTCTCACCTAACTCCCTGCAGAAATACTAAGATAGTAAGCACTAGCACCAAAGTAGTTTTGATTTGACCAACAGCCTAAGAGTGTACCAGCAACTGCAGGCAAAAGCAGAAAAAATGGACCAAGAACTTAATCGGGCAGACACGCTCCTGGGTGGGCACAGAAGCCTTGTGATCCAACTCTTAATTTGGAGATTCCAGCAAGAAACACAGCAGGAAACACCTACATAGAAGTCCCTGCCAAGACAAAAGATAAAGTCCTTTGGTTGAACAGGACACAGCCACTAGTTACAACTAAGAAAGTGAGTCAGCGTGCACAGAAGCACACTTCAGCTGCTTCCAACACAGGAAAGAACTGCCACTGGGACATATACCTGACTGTGAGTTCGTGGGGACTCGGAAGAAGAAACAACATACTTAGTGGGAAGTGTTAAGACTGACGGGCTGAAAGCTCAGACCTCAGAAGCCTTCAATGGAGTTTGTATTCAGATATCCAAGACCCCCACCCCTACTCCATTCTGGAGTCAAGTCTCGAACTAACTTTGTTGTTATACATATACAGTGACCACAGAGAAAAGTCAAGAAGGAAAGCAGAACTAAAAATCAGAGAGATGATGAAAAGACTCAGACTCTGAAAGGACAAAAAAATTAGAAAGGAAAAAAAAAGATAGAAAGATTCATATATCCAGATGGATAGATGATAGACACATACAGAGATGACAGATATCGATGATAGACAGACAGATACAAATATATATACATACACACACACACAGATGAATGAATGGATAGCCACTCAAGAAAGCTGTTGAAGGACTGAAGGACTGGGGGAGTAGCTCAAGCAGTAGAGCAGCTGCCTAGCAAGCAGGCAGCCCTGAGATCAAGCCACAGTACCGCAAAAAAAAAAGAAATAAAGCAACTGAAAATTTTGATGTTTTAAAAAATAAGCTTTTGTCACTACTGGGTTTTGATCCTTATCATTTGTATTTTTTTTTTATATCTGACCAGATAAATTTATCATCTCTGTTTCAGTTCTGCTTTCCTCCCTGACTTTTCCCTGCAGTCACAGTATATGGATAACACCAACTTTCAATATTCTATCTTAATCCCTATCTTCTCTGTCCTTTCCCTACCTTCTTTCTCCATTTACACATTCCTTCCATTCCAAATTAGAACAGTTCTCACTCATATTTGGCCTCTTATCTCTATCTTTCCATCCATAATCCTTCCTTATTACCTACGCTTTAATCAGGCTAATTAGATATCAGAGCGTTTCTCAAATTTTTCTGTTTTTTTTTCTCACTTCTCTTCCCCAACACATTAACTAGATCTTTCCTACCTACCTCATCCTACTTTCTCACTAACCCCTTCCTGCCTTATTCACTCATGTTACCCCCCCATCTCCTTCCTATTAACACCCTTATTAATTTAGTTCTGTTTAGATCACGAACATTCTTCTTTGCTCCTACATTCTTCTAAATATACTGGGGCAGGAACAATGACTGGCTTCCTTAGGGTTTATCATAATCTCAGGACAGTGATTATCTCCTAAGAAAGTACCTGCAGCTAAGTCTTTGCCCTCCTGAGTGTAGAAGGGAGCTGTGTCCAACATCGTGAGCACTGTACTGAGCCACACACTGGTAGACACAGAAAAATATACCACAATCCACCCACTACACACACTTAAATAGCCTAAAGGAAATTCTAACTAAAAGGACAAAGAGAACTGACACCCCTCCAACCAAAAACTCTACCCCAGAAGCATAAATCCCAGCAATAAAAACAAATTCCATGAAAAAACAAACCAGTATGTCTCCTCCAAGAGACAACAACTCCAAACTAAAGGACTTAAGTGACAGTGAAGACAAAGCGCTGGTGGAGGTGCTCAAGGTATAGGCCCCAAGTTCAAACCCCAGTACTGCAAAAAAAAGAAAGAAAGAAATTGAAGAGAAAATGTATAAGCAATTGAATGAATTCAAATAGGATATAAATAAAGCTTAGTTAGTTAATTGAACTTAAAGAAATTTCAAACAAACAGCTGAATGATATAAAGAAGATGGTGCAGGATATGAAAAGGAAATTAACTAAAAATAGAGAAATCCTGAAAAAAAAAAAAAAAAAAAAAAAAGAAATCTTATGTGTTCAAAACAGCAAATAAAAGCTTCAATCAACAGTCTTCTTAAGAGAGTGGAGCAGGTTGAAAATATAGTACCAGGGATTGACGATAAAGTAGAGGAATATGTAAGGCCTCTGGTACACCATCAAAAGGCCAAACCTGGGGGCGGGAGGGGGGGGGGATAAAAAGAGAATGGAGAAAGGGTTAAATTCAAGTATGATATATTTGATACATTGTAAGAAGAACTTCTGTAAATGCCACAATATACCCCCAGTACAACAACAACAACAAAAAAAAGCCCAAACCTATGGATAACAGGTACAGAAAAAGAGATACACACTAAAGACATAGATAAGTTGGTTCTTTGAAAAGATAAGTAAGGCTGATGAACAGTTAGCCAATCTGACTAGAAGGAAGAAAAACACCTAAGTTAGAGATGAAAAAGGGAGTATCACAAGAAATACCAATGAAATCCATAGGATCACAAGTAATACTTTGAAAATCTATATACAAATAAAAACTGGAAGATTTAGAAGAAATGGATACATTTTCTACCAAAACTGAACCAAGAGGATATAAGTCACTTAAACAGATCCGTAACAAACAATGAGATTCAGGCAGTAATAAAGAGTCTCTCAACACAGAGAGTCTGGAAATGGATGGATTCACTGCCGAATCCTACCAGACCTTTAAAGAACATTGATGCTCCTCAACTATTTAATGAAACAGAAAGGGAAGGTGCATTATTGCTCATTCTGTGAAGCCAGTATTACACTCATCTAAAACCAGATGAGGAGAAAACAAAAAAAGAGAGATAAGAGAAAATTACAGACCAGTCTTTTTAATAAACATGAATGAAAAAATTCTTAACAAAATACTTGCAACTGAATTTAACAACACATCAAATACATCATATACAATGATCAAGTTGTTTTCATGCCAGGGATGCAAGGATGGTTCAGCATATGCAAATCAATAAAGGTAATATAGCATATAAACAAATCACAATAGATGCAAAAAAGCCTTTGACAAAATTTAGCATCCTTTCATGATAAAAATTCTAAAGAAACAGGAACAGAAGAAATGCATCTCAACATAGTAAAAGGTACATATGACAAACCTATAGATATCATCATACTAAACAGGGAAAAACTGAAATTATTTCCTCTAAGGTCAGGAACAAGACAAAGGTGTCCACTCTCCCCACTCCTATTCAATATAGCACAGAATTCCTAGCCAGACCAGTAAGATGAGAGAAAAGAGGAAGGAAGGAAGGGAGGGAGGGAGGGAGGAAGGGAGAGTGGGTATTTATTCAGAAGAGTGGTATTAGGATTTACTATTAAGTCTGCAAGCTCAAAAGTAATAATAATAATAATAATAATAATAATCTCAAAAGCTTTATATACTCAAAGATCTAGGACATGTCATGTAAGTAAAAGAGTAAAAGCTTCTGTTACATTTCCTGTGAGCAGAATGACTCACTGCTGCTTATAACAAGAATGGAAAGATTAACCATGGCTTTTGCTTCAAAGACAGAACACAGTAAGAAAAAGAGTAGCTGTCAAATAATCTTCACACTCTTGATCCTCATTAAATCAAACCTAAATGTGAAATTTAATACTCCCTGTTGAAAGAATAGACTGATACCTAAGTTTATACTAAACATTTAAATACCTAATAAATAAAGAGCTGTATTATGAAAGACAATACAACAAACCCAGTTGTACTATGTGCCAGGCACTGGAGTGAGTAAGTTACTGGAGTAAGTGAGTAAGTTACTGGAGCAAGAGAGCAAGAGAGGGAAGAAAGGCAAAACAGACACAAAATCCAAACTGCAAACTAGAGTAAGGAAAAAAACCCCACAAGTACAAAACAGGCAAAAGGTGAAATTATAAAAACACAGTGCCAAGGAAGGCTCCTTATAACAATCAATTCTTTCCCAATAATATGGTGAGCTAGATACCCTAAGAACCTCTCTGCTACAAAACACCTCAAATGATTGAAAAAAAAAATGTTTGACAGTAGGGCTGTAGCTCAGTGGAGGAACACTTGTCTCACATGCATAAGGTTCTAACTTCAAAGCATAGCATTGACAAAAAGAAAAAAGAAATTAGCTAGATGTGATGGTGCACACCTGTAATCTCACACCTGGGGGCTCAGGCAGGATACCAAGTATAAGGTATCTCAGAATGCTAAAATACATAGCAAGAACCACCCCCCAACTCCAAAGAGCGGGGAAGAGGTTACTTGAGCATAAACTTCGACCAAGAAAGAAAAAATATTGGCCAGGCACAGTGGATTACACCTGTAATCCTAGCTACTTGGGAAGTGGCTATCAAAAGGATTGTGGTTCGAAGCCAGTCCAGACAAAAAGTTAGTAAGACCCCATCTCAACCTGTACCTGGGGCATGGTGATGCATGTCCTCTCATCCCATCTATGAGGGAAACAGAAACAGGATCACAGTCCAGCTGCCCTGAGCAAAAATGAAAGCTGCTACCCAAAAAATAATGAAAAACAAAAGCACAAGAGGACATACTTAAGTAACAGAGCATGTGCCTAACAAGCATGAAGCCCTGAGTCAATGCCCAGTATAAACAAAAAGAAAAAAAGAAGCACAAACATCCCTTCCATGTCTGAATTACCAATAACAATGCTTCATTTATACTCTCCAAGATGAAGTCTTGGGAAATGAGACCATTCCAAAGTGAGGAGGTAAATATAAGGGGAGATGGGTGGTAAGCATTATAAAGTGGAAATCTCTCTTAATGATCTAGGACAACCAATAGTATTGCAAATTGAATCAATATACAAAATCTATAAAATAATTCACTTCGATTCTCACTGATGCCCAAATTGTTAATCATAAAGCACATCAGCTGAAAATTAACTTAGTAAAAAGCTCTTGTGGGGAAAATTACAACATATTCTAAGGATTAAAAGATACAGAAGCATTACTGATCATAGATAGTATTGGGTATCATAATTGTGGTCATATATGAAAATGCTCTTAAATTTTTAGAAATGCATGATGAACCATTTTGAGATCAAATGTTGTAGGTTTTCTTTCAAATATACTGGCAAAGAAAAAATAAAAGATGAATAAAGTAAAATGTTAGCACATGTAATTCGCTATGTTTCATACACACCTAAAGATAATCACACATACTGCTTTTAGTATGCCTGTGTTTTAACTACAAGCCATCACACAAGCTCAGGTATGAATCACATTGGTGTTCAAAGTTTCAAATTCTGGAGCATTTTAGGTTTCAGATTTTTACATTAGAGATGCTCAACCTATACTATTTTCCTGTAAGTTTGGAACTTTTCATAACAAAAAGTAAAAAAGAAAAGCATGGTTACTTTCTAATATCACATACCTCATTCAGTTCTTCCTTATTCAGATTATCCAGATGAATCTTGGTCCAGTATTTGTCTAGCAAAGTAGCATGACTATTTAGTGGTCTATACCAATTTCCTCCACAGCTCAGAAGTCTACATTTTAAAATAAATAATAAAGAGATGCAAAATTTCCAATTTAAATCTTGAATTAAGAGTATACCCACCTTATCCAAAGGGCATACATTCCTAGACCTACGGTGGATGACTGAAACCAGTTTATCAGTTTTTTATTTTTTGCTGTTACTCAGTTACCAATGATGAGTTAAACTTATAAATTAGACACAGTAAGAGGTTGACAACATTAGCTAACAAATAATAAGCTGCAGGGGGAGCGGTGTCCACACATCTGCAATCCCAGCACTTGGGAGGTATTGAGGCAGGAGGACTGAGTTTGAGACCTGCTTGGGCTACATAGTAAGACCCTGTTTCAAAACAAAAATAAAAAAACTAATAATAAAGTAATTATTAATAAAATAAAAAATCATTGGAAAAAAATTATAAAAATATACTGTAACTAAAGTTATTTAAAACTTATAAATTATCTACTTCTAGAATTTTCCACTTGTTTTTAGATCCCACTGACCACCGAAACACTAAAATCACAGAAAATTACAGATAAAGGGGTGACCTCTATATACCCTCGTTACTACTTGCTGTACACTACCTTACACATGAATACCACTCATAATCCCGTCTGTACCACATAGTTCTGTGTTGGATTCATGGGGCAGACAGAAAATGAAAGGCCGATGTTTGACTCTTTCCCAAGAAGGACTGATAGAGCCTTAACCAAATTATTTTCAAATCAATGCAAATGTTTTCATGATCTCAATAACATATACTTTCTTAAAGCATAAACGTCAGGAAAACACAATCCAAGGTTTATTACATGTTTTTACTGAAAGCTACTATAACTGAAATTATTAAAAATTTCCAGAAGGGCTGGAAGAGTGGCACAAGTGATAGAGCGCCTGCCGAGCAAGCGAAAGGCAGAGTTCAAACACCAGTACTGCCAAAAAAAAAAAAGAAAAGAAAATTCCAGAAGGAGAATGAATATACATTAAAAATATATTTTGGACAAGCTACATGCTTATATATAAGCCATTTAATCCTCACAACTGTCCTGAAGGGAAGGTGCCATGATTTTCTTCAAATGTATAAATAAAAGAATAGTATCCCTTGCTCATTCAAGTATGACTACAAATGACAGAGCCAAAAGCTGAATTCAAGTCATTTGATCTCGAGTTTGCCTAACATCTTTCTGTGATGTACTGGGACTTTCTGAGAAATGCATGAACCTAGCAGGGAAGAACTTCACTACCTCTGTAAATAAAATCAAGGTCTATTTAAGGTAAAAGTGTTTGCTGGAAGTATAACTCAGTGGTAGAGTACTTGCCTACTATGCTCAAGGCTATGGGTTCAATCCTTAGCACCAGGAAAAAAACAAGTATGGCTCTAGCAACATGTTCCTTGAAAACTGTTAGGTTAGTTCCACAACTCCATCTAGAAGTAAATGGTTACTGAGGTAAACACTAATCATTAAATATAATGCAGTATTAGTTTCACTCATGGGCATTCTTACGAGAGGTACACTATCAGTAAGGAATAAACTGATGCTTTCTTACTATTATAAAATGCAGACAGAAACATACTAAATCGCTCAGTTTTTCTTAGTTCACACATATATTCAGTAAGTTTTCAACTTGAAATCTACATATTCACCATAAACATGGCTACTTGACTGGTTATTTGCTATACTCTTTAGTGCCAAGGCATTTTATATAGTCTTTACAGACATCACTTGAAGTAGGAATAATTAGCCTCATCGTATTCAAGCAGGCAAGATGTACAGAGGTACAAAGGTCAGTGCTGGGACTCAAACTCAGACTATCTAACAACAATCTCCTCTGATTATTTTTGAAACATGAAAACAAGATAAAGTGTTTTCAACTGCCTACCTTTTTTTTTAACATAGAAAAAAAAACCTCTTATTTACTTATTTTGATGGAACTGAGGTTTGAACTGAGGGCTTTGTGCTTACAAGGCAGGTGCTCTATCACTTGAGTCACATCTCCAGTCCATTTTACTCTGGTTATCTTGGAGAAAAGGTCTCAAGAAGTATTTGCTCCACCTGACCTCAAACCTCAATCCTCCCAATCTCAGCCTCCCAAGTAACTTGGATTACAGGCATGAGCCACCAAGACCCAGCTAAGAACTCTTATTTTTTTAATTTTATTCGTGTTTTTTGGTGGTACTGAGATTTGAACTCAGTATCTCACACCTGTTAGGCAGGCATTCTGCCAGCCCAGAACTCTTATTTTATAAATTGATTTTCTTCATTAAAAATAATCAGTATTAAGGTTAGATCTGTCATCACTTCCAACTAACTTTGCTTAAAGTAGCCAGAAAACACTATTCCAGAGCTTCTGGACTCAGCATTCAGACTCATAAGGAAGAGGTTCCAAAGTGGGAACAGAAAAGTTAACAGCACATACCTCCTGGTTGCAAAAAACTGAAATCCAGGAGCCACTTTTAGACAGTCGCCTCGGCCAGGAATCAAAAGCTCTCCATTCTCCAAGAGAGGGATCAACACGGAAACCTGAATCACAAAGCCTCACTGATAAAATCATAGAGACAGTTATAAAGAACAAAAGAATTCTTTCTCCAAATGATGAACACATAGGTAGAAGAAACTCCAGTTCTTACAGTGCAACTTGGGGTCAAATGCAGGTGACTGGTTTGAGTCACCTACACAGCAGCATAAAACTTCACTCATTCAATATTCCTTGAGTACCTACTTTAGGCCAGAATTAAGCAAGACCCAAGAACATAACAGGACAAAGGCTTTAATGCCTGCAGTCTTACAGGAGATGACAAACACGCAAAACACCAGAGTGAGTGTGAGAGTGTGAGAGAGAGAGAGAGAGAGAGAGAGAGAGAGAGAGAGAGAGAGAGAGAGAGTGTGTGTGTGTGTGTGTGTGTGTGTGTGTTGGTAGGATTTGAACTTGGGGCTTCATGCTTGCTAGGCAGGCACTCTACGTCTTGAGCCATACCTCCAACCCAGCTGTGTCTATTTTTTTTTAACGAAGAAGAGACAAGTACATCATTTCCTCCTTCACTCTGTTCTATAGCTGCCAGGGCTGGCAAACAGGATCTCAAAGTTCTCCATGTATCCCCAGCACAGTAACATGTTTTCTCCCAGGCTTATTCTTAGAATGGCTGTGAGAGTGGTCACATACTAAACTACTACAGAAAACAGCACAAATAAAATTTTATAGGCTCTTTTTCAAATAAGAGATTAGCCAGGACCTCAAATTCAAATCCTCAAATCCAAGACCTCCAATCAGATTAAGCAGGTAAATATGAATGAGCTTCCCACCAGATACCACATGAAATCAAACACCAAATCATGTCCAGTCACTGTTAACAAAATGTTCTTAAGACAGGAAAGATGCTGTCTTAAGAGGCAACAATTTAGCAAGATGGCATACCACATCTAAGGGGGCATAGTCAATATCTTCCAGAAGGATCCAGTGGCCCTTTGTGGCTGCCTGTGTCAGGGTGCCAGGCTGCCACACAAACTCTCCAGGGACATCAGTGCAGCGATACATCCCCAATAACATCTGCAGGAAGAGGGTAAAGAAATTAGTGAAACTACTCACCTGAGATGCCAAGGTTACATTTTTTATTAATTCTGTAAAACTTCAGTAGGGGTAACTTGAGGCTTACACAGCTTGCCCTGACAATTACGAGCAAAAGCAATAACTATACATATATTCCCTTAGCAAAAATGTTTGAATGACAGTATTAACAAGAATACCAACCCACAAGCACTTGCCCTTCTTAATTACCTTACTGTCAGTCTGATCTCCAAGCTGGACTTTGAGAAGCTGAGGAGGCTTCCTTCGACCTGTCATTGCAGCTAAATGTTCAACTAAGGAAGTTTTGCCACATCCTATTGGTCCTTCCAATAAGACAGCATTCTGAGAAGCCACTGCCATAGCGAGGGTCTGAAGATTTTTGCAGACAGATTCAACCAACACATAAGACCTAAGGGCCAGGTCCTGTTCACGTGAAGAAGACCTGTCACTTGCCTAAAGAGGTGAGTAAAAAAGCAAAAAGCAGGTTACTAAAAGTCCTTCCCCAAAAGGGCACAAGTTAATTTCTATAATGCTTCCATTGACCTTACACAAACCTCAGCTACTTATTTAGTAGTACCAGAGTTACAATAACAATAGGTATGGATCTTAGTGTTTTACTTCTTTCCTTTTTTGGGGGAGGATCAGATGAATTTTTGAACAAATCTGAAAAAAGATTTCCCAGAGTTTAAGAAGCTAAAAATGCTGGTTCATCGAGGTGACTTCAGGGGAAGCTTATCAATCACTGGAGGATAGTTTTTTCCTCTTTCCCTTTTCTAGGACTTCACATCTAAGATTAAGAACGCAGGGGATGGCAGGATACCTTAGTGACAGAGTGCTCACTCACAATGCACAGACACTGAGTTGGCTCCCCAGCACATAGGAACATACAAACACAACCCCAAAAGGAAAAAAAAAACAATGCATACATTCAAGAGACAATCAAGGAAAAATGGGCACTGAGAGGATATATTATAAAACTGCTAGTTGTTTTTTTTTTTTCCCCAGATGTAAGGATTAGGAAGATAGATGTGTCATTCACATGGCAGAGGGCTTGACTATAAAAGCCAAGGTCCTGAGTTCAAACCCAGTACCACCAAAAAAGAAAAAAGAATTAAGTAAGTCCTTTTAAAGACATGAACTGGAATACTTAGTATGAAAATATATGATACTTGGAAATTCCTGAAAAATAATAGTGTGGAAAAACTGCAGATACAAAAGAAAAACTAAACATGAATTGGTAACTATTGAAGCTGGATGATAGTACATAGGAATTCATTACACCATTCTTTGCATTGAAAGGTCAGAAGTAAGAACAATGCACCCAATGTGAATAATGGACATATATACAGCTTCAGTTTTGCAAAATGATAAAGTTCTAGAGATTGGTTGTACAAAAATGTGAATATACTTACATATAAACTTTAAAATGTTCATGGTAAATGTTGTATGTATATTACCACAATTAAAATTTTTTAAATAATAAAGTTCCTAATACATATGGTGAGAAAAGATCTTTTCATTTTTATTTTTTAGTGGCAGGGATTGACCCAAGACCTTGTGCACTCTACCACTGAGCTACACCTTCAGCCCTACTATTAACTTTTTATGGGTTGTAACTTCTCAAGCATGGCTGGTCTGCTCAAGATATGCAATGAACAAATGACAAGTTCAGGACTGGAAGCTCTTGAACTTTCCTCAGGGCTGCCCCTCTCAGCAATTTAGCAGTTGAGCAGGGACATTCTGCACTTCTGTTCTAGCAGTCCCACTGCCACTGAACACCAGGCCCATTCCACCCAAAAACCATCCTTAGGTTAAAATTCTAATGCCCCAAAACTAATCTATGTTAAGATAGTGGTTGCAGGACAGGTGAAAAGAGTGGGTCATAGTGACAGAAGGAAACACAAAGGGCTTTGCAGGTACTTGATTTCTTGGTACTGGCGGTACAGATAGAACTATTTAATTTGTAAATAATCACTGCACTAAAAACACCTTTGTGTATGTGTGTTGTTACTAGGGAAGTGAACCCAAGGCCTCATGCATGTGAGGCAAGTACCCACCTGAGCTATCCTCTCAATCCTTTTGTTTGTGAGATAAGAGTCTCACTTTGTCCAAGAAGGAAATCACAAGCCTCCTGCCTCCATTTCCCAAGTAGCTTGGAATTACTGGTGCATACCACAATGCCTGGCCCTAGAAACATTTTTGATATATGCACTTTCCTTTATGTGTCTTATACCTGTTTTTCCCTACTTTCTTAGTGCTACTGGTCAGAAACAAACTGCAAGTTTAAATGACCCAGGACTTGTTCCAAGAAAAAAAGTGGGAGGATGTGATCATCAAATGAAGAATACTAAAGAAAAAAAGAGACTGGCTCCCAATGCTTTCAGATCTATCATCTGTAAGCCTGCCTGTCTAAGTTTAGTCTGGAGCCACATTCATGGAAAGAAAGTCATTTCATATGGCAGGACATAAGTATACTAAACATTCTGGCTTCCCACACAATGGGCAAAAAAGATAAAGGCTAGGAAACCAGGCATGGTGGCACATGCCTATAATCCTAACACTCAGGAGGCTGAGGCAGTATGATGACAAGGCCAGTCTGGTCTACACAGTGAGTTCAATTCCAATCTGGGCTACTTTGAGAGATCCTAACTCACAAAGGAAGAGGCTAGGGGTTATATCTAGGCCTAGACCTATCTTTGCCATAAAACAGTCCAAGGGTCTCCAAGCAAGTTTTTTCTGTTACATTAGTAAAGGATGGTAATGTGTGCTACTCAATTTTATACAATTTTTCACAGCAAATAAACAAGCAAATATATGGAAGAGTTTTGCTAAAGTTCATCGGTTTCTTTTTCTTTTTTTGTTTGTTACTTTGGTTTGGTTTTGCAATGCTAAAGATCAATACCAGGGTTTCTCACACACTAAGGCAATTGCTCTACCATGAACTATACCCTCGGCCTTTCTGGACAGGGCCTCTGTGTGGCTCAGGCTGGCCTCAAATAATCTTCCTACCTCAGACTCCTGAGTAGCTGGGACTATGACATGTGCCACTGTACCCATCATCTTTGAGCTCTGCTAAAATTAAAGGCATCACACATGCATCATTAATGAAGGGAATACCAGAGAAAAGGACCCAAGGTGAATTTCTCACTGAACACTTCTGAAAATGAAGCAGGAGTTTAGCAAACTCAACTGATCCCACCCGATTCAGAGCCCAACCAAGGAAAGACCATTATCAGTGTTTAAGAGGGGAGAGAGATCACACCACTTACTATACCTGCTCTTCAGAGGCTGGCAGATGCCTGGGCAGCACCACACCACAGACAGCTGTCACCCTAAAGGAGAGGTCAGCAGAAACAAGGTGTCCCTGTAAGTACTGCAGTTCCTTCTCTTTACGCCAAAGGGAGGCTTTTGGATTGGTCAAAACCAAGGCCTTCTCCAAGTCCTGCAACTGGGCCTCTTCTAATAGCCTGAGGGAAAAGAATATCATCAATTATTTTACAGCATAAAAAAAAGCCACAGCAAGACCTTCAGGGAGGCTCCTGCCTACCTTAACTTGAAATGGATCAATTCCTCACTATTAAAAATCTTCTTTAGGAATGATAACTTGTGTTCTTCATTCATACAGGTGATCAAAGCAAGACAATTGGCTGTGTACCTGGAGAAAAAAGAAATATATAAATCCAGCTTATCTGCAGTTGATTATTAGGAAAAAAGAAATTTACTAGTTAACTGAACACTACAAAAGGAAATTACATTTCCTACAACCCACATTTAAGAATACAAAATATAAATCAGACATCATGAATTCACTTGGTAGAACGTGAAAAGAATAAAACTCAAGAGTATTTCTGGGTCCCCTCCTCCTCAGCTCTTTTACTTTCACTTTGTTTCCCCAACAAAATTTTGCTAAACTCTTAAAAAAAAAAAAAAAAAAGAATGAAACTCTACTCATATCATCTCATTTTTCTCTGAAGTAAAATATGATTAAGGAAATGGATTAAGAACTCAAAAAGGTATCGGGAACCATGGCTCACACCTGTAATCCTAACTACTTGAGAGGCTAAGACTGGAAGGACAGAGGCTCAAGGCCAGTTGGGCAAATAATTCATGAGACTCCATCTCCAAAATAACCACAGCAAAATGCGCTGGAGGTGTGGTTCAAGTGATAGAATGCCTGCTTTGTGAGGGCCTGAGTTCAAATCCCAGTCCCACAAAGAAAAAAAAAAAGCAAACAACAACAAAAAATCCACAAGAACCAAAGCTTTCCTCCCCCCAACACACAAGCCTTCTATATCCACCCCCTCCACTAGAAGCACAGGAAAATTCCAACAGCTACGCACCAGCGGACCAAGGTATCATGGCTCCTGAGGAGAGGGACACAAACACTCCAGTCCCAGAGCTCCCGGAAAACAGACTGTTCTTGCTGCAGAAACTTGTAGGCTGCTTCCATTAGGTCTCGGAGCTTCATCCGCCTACGCCCATAACGTACTGGGTTAGCATCTGAACTCTCTAGAAAGAGCCTTTGAAAGACTGGGTAGGTGTCCTTGAAATACCTCAGAGCAAACCTTGAGGAAAAAAGGAATACTTTCAATGGTTGGTGGAAATATCCAAGTATACATCTTCACTCTAAAACAGGACTGCAGACCATAACAGAACTCCTAAGGATCTGAGAACACAAAGAGAAAAATGCTAAAGCCACCTCATCCTAAGATTGTAACCAGTTTAAGTTCAGGAACCAGGACCACAGCAGGAGATACTTGACTCAGAGGCTGCAAAAATCTAAAGTGATTATAAGAGCAGAGGAACTTATCAGGGAAACACCACCCAGGTAAAAGAGAAGAGAGGACAGGGGGAACCTCCAGCATTTACTACTGAAAATGCACTCATTCTCACTATGAGCCAAAAACTGTGTTACTACCTGGAAATTCAAAACCACAGAAATAGTTAAAAATACAGAGGCACAAAGAAAAAAGGTCCAACTGAACCGTAAAGGATGACAAAGAGATCTCATGACAGCACGAAGAAAAAGGACACACCTTTCAGATGAAACAGCACCAAGAAAGAGTGGTACAAGCAAGCAACCACAAACAATGTGTGATAGCTGGAGAACAAAAAGATGTCATTGGCAGGAAATGAGGTGAAGAGGAAAGCAGGAGCCAAACTACATAAAATGTGGTAGGCAACAATAAGATGCTGAGACTTCACTGTACTCAAAAGTATTTCTCACACAAATATATTCTTCTATGGAAACTCTAAGAGACTCCATGAGAAATACTAGCATAAACTGAATTACACAGGCTTTCTTTATCTATATACTCAGATAAGGTTAGAGTGATCTTAGAATCTCTAGCTGTGCTAATCAATGAAAATCTTCCCTTGTACAAATCTAGTCTGTAAAGTCTGGGAGAGGTGTTTTATTTTTTCAAATCTCAACAACAAAAAAATCACAAGGCATACAAAGAAGGGAAACTCAGCCCAGTGTGTGTGTTGGAGGGAACTCTAGAGAGACAGGGGCTCAATGGTAGAGGCCCAAGGTTTACTTCTCAGGACCAAATCTTTCTATATCAGTAAACACCTTAAATGTTAATAGGTTCATGAATCAAATCAGATTAATGAATGGAGAAAAAATGAAATGCTGCCTACAAGAAATTTACTTTAGGATTAGAGGTGTGGATCAAGTGGTAGAGTGCCTATCTAGCAAGTGTAAAGCTTTAAGTTCAAATCCCAGCATACACATAAGCTGAAAATGAAAGAACAGGACAAAACATTCCATACAAATGATAACCAAGAGATAGCAGAGGGGTAGCTATCCTAACAGACAAAACCAACTTTAAATCAAAAACTGTTAGGAGAAACACAGAACATTATGTAAGGACAAAAGGGTCAATTCACCAAGATGATGTAACAATTATAACAAATATTTATGTACCCAACATCAGAACACCTAAATATATGAAGCTAATTTTGACAGATTTGAAAGAAGAAATAGCAATACAATAACAGTAAGAGACTTTAATGTCCCGCCTCATATAAGTTGACCCAGAGACTGAGAATATACCCAATCCTTTTCTTACAAAATAGCTTAACTTTTGCCAGTAACAATAATTCCTGACTTCCAATAACTACCAACCTCCTTTTTTGTTTGTTTATTTATTTAGGCAGTACTGGAGTTTGAACTCAGGGCTTTGAACTTGCTAGGCAGGCACTCTACCGTTTGAGCCACACTCTAATAGGTTTTTAAACTGCTTTTGCTGAAAAGCACCAACTCCTTACTCAGGCCCACAGATTACCTAAAAGCAGGAGAAAAGCTTAGCATCTCTGTCTCCACTTTGTACCTATTGCACTTTGCTCTGAGCCCTTCTCTCCTTCAGCCACCTTGGGATCAAGGAAAGATAGGAGTGATTATTTTTAACTTACTGTATGATAGCACGTTTTATAAGCAACATTGTATCATTTTTGGAACAAGGTGGGAACAAAAAATAAAACACATTGCCTTGAAAAAAAGAAAAGAAGAAAAAAATATGACATTTGTCTCACATTCTTTTAATAACATAAAATTTGAAGCTTACGGAAAAACAGACCTAGTTAATCCATCACATTAATGATTACCAAATACAATCCTAAAGATTTCTGCCATAAAGGCTTAATAGAAGTGGGAGTTCAAGTTAGGACACCTCAATTCTATAACACAGAATGTTCCCCTTTCAAAAACAGCTCATACAGGGCTGGCAGTGGCTCAAGAGATATAGTTCCTGCCTAACAACTGGGAGGCCCTGAGTTCAAACCCCAGTACCACCAAAAATAAATAAATAAATAATAATAAAAATAATTAGCTCCTGGTGCCCACAAGCCTTCATTCCTTATTCCCGAATATGAGAAGCAAAGATCACACGTACTGTGTTGATGATGAAGACTAATAAAACACTGGATAGAAGAGATGTTCCTACCAGTACAGAACAGTATTATTCCTGTGTAGACTGGAAGTTCTTTCTCTTCTCAACTTAAAACCCTTGACACTTACTAATTTTGCTGCCTGCCATGACTATTCTACACAGAATCCAGTTCTAACATAGTTCCACAGTGATTTGTAGACTGTGTGTGTGTGTGTGCGTATGTGTGTGTGGCTGAGGACTGAACCCTGGGCCTTTCACATGCTAGGCAAGTGCTCTAGCACTTAGCTTCATACCTGCTCTATAATTTTTTTCCAGGTACTAGGAACTGAACCTGGGGCCTCATGCTTGGCACTCAAGTGTAATCCCAGCACTGGGAAGGCAGAGGCAGGAGGATATCCAGTTTGAAGTCAGCCTGAACTGCTGTCTCAAAAAGCAAAACAACATGAAAACATAGTGAACTGCTCATTGAATTGAGGGAATTAATTGATTCTGCTATGATTATTTTCATAAAGCACTAATAGTTATCTCTCTTCTTTCTGTATTTCCCTTCTCAACTCAGACTCTTACTTGCTTAGGAGAGAGGGGATTTCTTTTGCTGGTATTGATGTTTTTTGAGGTAAGATGTCACTATGTAGCCCAGGATGACCTTAAACTCACAAATGTCTTGCTCGGTCTCCGGAGTGCTAGAATTACAGGCATGAACCACCACACTCAGCCTTTGAGAAGGTTTTATCAACTCAAGAACTGTGAATAAAGCCACTACTCACGGGAGAATGTCAGGATGGTCACCAATGAGCCTGCTCATGGACACACAGAGACGTTCATGTAGATCATGGTTGACCTGGCCACCAGTTGTAATGGCCTCAGCATTCCTTTCTAGCAAATCCAAAAGGAGAGGGCGCAGCTGGCGGCCAATCAACACGGTATAGTCCTTATCCAGGAGCAACTGTGCTAAAATACTCAGGATACACTGGCGATCTTGAGGTGTCCATACCTGAGAGAAAAGCAAAACAAAATGTCCACGTGAACGAAATTTATTTGCATTCTTGGGAAAATAAGAGTGTTCTAGATTGGAATGAAAATATTCAACTTCCAAGTTTCACAAGTGAGCCAGGTTCCTATGGCTCATTCCTGTAATCCTAGCTACGCAGGAGGCAAAGATCAAGAGACTGTGATTCTAAGCCAGCCCCACAAATCGTTCTCAAGACCCTACCTCAAAAAATAACAACAACAAAAAAGGGTGGCAGAATGGCTCAAATGGCAGAGTGCCTGCCTAGCAAGTGTGAGGTCCTGAATTCAAATTCTAGCACCAAAAAAAAAAAAAAAAAGAAATCTACAAGTTTCTAAAGTGAGTTTTCTTATAAAACACAGTGGGATTTATATTATATTATATTATTTTATTTCTTTATTTTGCAAATAGATTAGAGTTAGTTTACTAATAAATTTCATTCTACCTAGGTTTGAGGTAAAAGGATTGATACTTGGGTTCTATTTTTCAGTTTCCCTGAAAAATAATCTGTGATGCAAGGTCTCAACACTTGGTCCATAGAATCACAAACCCCAGTGTACCTCTGGCTCCCTTACCCTTCTTAAGTGAGAAAATAAGAATTCTAGCTGGACACCATGGCTCTAGCTACTCAGGAGGTGGAGATCAGAAAGACTGCAGTTCAAGGCCAGCCCAAGCAAAGTTTTCAATACCCCCACTTCAACAGAAAAGCTGGGTGTTCCAGTGTGCTCCTATCATTCTGGCTACATGAGAAGCTTAAGTAGAAGGACTGTGATCCAGGCCAGCCCAGATAAAAACAATAAACAAAAAAACCCACAAAACCCTATCAGAAAAACAACTAAAGCAAAAAAGGCTGAAGAAGGGGCTCAAGTGGTACAGTGTCAGCTGGGAACCAGTGGCTCACACCTATAATCCTAGCTACTCAGGGTGCAGAATCCAGGAAGATGGCAATTCAAAGCTAGCCCAGGGCAAATAGTTCACAAGACCCTATTTCAAAAATACCCAACACAAAACTGGGCTGGCGCAGTGCTTCAAGTGGTATAGTGCCTGCCTAGCAAGCGTGAGGTCTTGAGTTCAAACCCCAGTACCACCAAATAAACAAATAAATAAATAAATAAGATAGACAGATAGATAGTATAGCACCTGCTGAGCAAGCTTGAGGCCGTGGGTTTAAACCCAGCATAGCAAAAAAAGAAGAAAAAAAAAAGGCTATCTTGAACCCAAGATAAATACCATATGCAAACAACTTTTCCTAATTTACCACTCAAAAAGAGAGTAAAAATGTAAGAGTTTTCAAAACTATAGAGTATTCTTTCACAAAAGCTTCTGATTCTGAATAAAATACTGATTGGGGGAAAATATTACCTTAACTGTTACCTTAAAATCAGTTTCTAAAGATTTGACTTCTGCTGGTTACATATAGGAGCCCAAATGAAGAAGTCCATAAAAATGGAGGCGAAGAGATTTAATAGACTCAGTCATGATCCAGAGGTATGCCTCTATGAATCATTTTCAATTCCCAAATGTTCCTATAAACAAGCCCTTTGAAGATATCACTTAAAATAATATAATGTGTGGTTATTTTGTAGAGAAAAAACACTTCTTTACAAAATGAGTGAAAACAAACCCAAATAGCCTACACAAATTGATAGCTGCAGAGTAAGAAAAAAAAAGGTCAGAGAACTTCTGATAATTTTTTTTCTTCAAATGGTAATGTGAAAAGTATTACAATAGGTAATTTTTTGTTGTTGTTTTTGGCCTAAACCTTCCCAGTGCTGGGATTACAGACATGTACAACCACACTTGGCTTAGTTTGATGAGTTTTGACAAAGGTACACACCCAGGTAAGCAACATTCCAATTAAAGTATATAACCAACATTTCCTCACCCCAGGCAAGCAATGATTGTTTTCCTGACCGGAGTTAGATTTGCCTATTTTAGAACTTCACATGAATGTGATCATCTAGTATGTGCCCCCTCTCTCTGTCACCCTTACTGGGGAGAGTGCTAACAGTCATCCACACAGTGTTTCCATCAATCCATTCTAGTTCATCACTAAGTGTTATATTGTTCAAATACACCACAGTTTGTTTATTCCTTCACATGCTGATGGATATTTTAAATTTAAATTTATCCCTAATTTTTTAACATAAAGCATTATTTTGGTTTGGACACAGGTCTTGCCATGTAGCCCAAGCCCAGCCTCAAACTGAAGATCCTCTGCCTTTACCTTCCCAGTGGTGGGTCTGCAAGCATGCACCACCATGATAGGTTCCCAATTATTTTAAACACAGAAACACTACTAATGTTTACATATTTATCTAGTATCCTATGACCTTGCAAAATTCACTTTATTTTGAAGATTCCTTAAGATTTTTACATTAAAAATGATGCCTTAAGCAAAGTCTATTTATTTTTATTTATTAATTTAACTGATAAAAACACAAAATTATACACACATATGGAGTACCATGTGATGTTGCAATACACATATACAACTGGGCATGGTGATTATCCCCTTCAATCCCAGCCACTCGGGAGGCAGAGGCAGGAGGATTTCAAGTTCAAGGACAGGACAGGCAAAGTTAGTAAGACCCTATCTCAAAAACAAAATAAAAACAAAAAGAGCTGGGGGCATCACTCAAGTGGTACAGCACAGGCCCAGCAAGTGCAAGGCCCTCAGTTCAATCTTCAGTATTGCAAACAGAACATTTTAGTTAAAAAAATTCAGTAAAGGATACATGTATACATTGTGTGATGTTTAAATCTACTGTTTTATTTCTTACTTTTCCATAAAGAGTCTTTCTTTTTTTTGCCATATGGCACTGGTTAAGAATTCCAAAGCGCCAGTGGCTTACACCTGTAATCCTAGCTACATGGGAGACTGAGATCAGGAGGATCACAGTTCCAGGCCAGCTCGGGCAAAAAAATACCCTATCTACAAAATTACCCTATCTCCAGAGCAAAAAGGGCTGGAGGTATGACTCACGTTGGAGGAGCGTCTGCCCAGCAAGTGAGAAGCCCCGAGTTCAAACTCCAGCAGCACCCCCACCAAAAAAAAGTTGGTATCCTCCTTGTCTTCACACTAACTGTGCTCTGGTAATTTTTTTTAAAGATCATCATTCACAGCTTATAGAAACCTTGTTTTATTCCTAGCTTTTGTCTGTTTCTTTTCTTCCTTTTTTTTTTTTTGGTGGGATTGGGGTTTGAACTCAGGGCTTTAAGCTTGCGAAACAGGTGCTCTACCACTTCTCCAGTCCCGCTTTTGCTTATTTCTTCAGTGGGCTTTGACAGGTGGATAGACTTTTTTAAACCATGCTGTAAAAGCTGCAAAAGTATATCCATAAAACCATTCTGTTTTTTACACTGAGCATTCAATAAATTACATTAAATACTTAGCATTTTATTATAAAATAGGCTTTTATTGGATGATTTTGCTCAACTGCAGGTTAAAACAAACCGAGCAAGTTTAAGGTGAGCTAGACTAAGCTATGTAGCTAGGTTAGATATTAAATGCACTTTTGATTTATTTTCAACTGAACAATGGGTTAATCAGGAAATATCATAAATCAAGGAAAGCATCCATAACCAAAATATTACCACAGGCAATCTCTGAGTGAATTTTTTCCTTAATTGTATTAATTTTCCAGCACTGCCAAAATACAGTACCATAAAATGGATGGCCTGAAGCAACAGAATGTATTGCTATCAGGGCCATGTTCCCTCCCAAACCTGTAAGAAAGAACCATCCTTCCTTGCCTCTTCCTAGCTTCTGGTAGCAGCTGTTATCCCTGGCTTTTGGCTACATGACTTCCATTTTAGCCTCTGTCAAACCCACATGGCCATCTTCTCTGTCTGTCTCTGTCTTATACGACGTTACTCATATTGGATTAGGAATCTACCCAATAACCTCATCGTGCCTTTATTAAAATTGCAAACCTACCCACCTCATCTCCATTTCCAAATAAGGTCACATTCAAAAGTAGTAGGTATCAGGACTTCTACATATATTTTTGGTAGATACAATTTTGTTCTTGTTTTGCAGAGCTGGGGACTGACCCCAGAGTCTAGCACAATTAGTTAGGCATTCCACCCTGAGCTACATCCCCAGCCCTGCTGGACACAATTTAATCAATAGCAACACTGGTGCTTTCTGGAATTTTCCAAATGTTCTGCCATGAACAACAGGATGATTTAATGAGATTAAAAAAAAAAAAAAAAACCCACTGAGGCCAGGCATGGTGGCTCACACCTGCAATCCTGGCACTCAGGAGACTGAAACAGGAGGAGGACTGCAAATTCTAGGCTGGACTGGGCTACATAGTGAGAGGGTGAGGGAGGGAGAGACCAAGGGAGGAAAAGTGGGTACTAGCAGGAGCTCTTAATCCTTACTGTTTAGAAGCCTGAGTCAAGAAGATGGCTTGAGCCCAGGAGTTCCTGGTCAATATGGGCAACATGGCGAGATCCTGTCTCAAAAAATACATATAAATTTTAAAAAAGAAAAAGTAATAAATGATTTATTAAAATCCATAAAGGTTAAATGCCAGAATTTAGATGCCAGCAGCCTAGACTGTGAGCATTTGCGGGTGGGAGGAAGGTTATAAGAAAAGTACATAATCAAGTTTCCCCTGCAGCCCCAAGGTCCTTCAAGCCGAAGAATCTAGGATCCCATCAGCTAGCCTGAGGTTGTAGCAACAGCAAAGCAGGGAATGTTAAGGATTTACTTCTCAAAACTTGTGGCTACTCCAGTAGCGTTCAGGTAACTGGATTCTTGGGAAATTCTGCCTTTCCTTTGTAATGCTAGACCTACTAGGAAAAGAAAAGGGCTGCATTCCTCATGGCTACCCCTTTCTATGTTCTCATGTCTCAAGTTTCTGTGAAGTTTGAATGGGCTTTTATGTAGGTGGTTGAGAAACAGGCAAGAATGAGGGACACTGAAAGACGCTGATTAAGCTATCAAATAGAGGGAAAAAAATTTTTTTTTTGTGGAAAAGGGGTTTGAACTCAGGGCCTCACACTTGTTAAGCAGCTCTATCATGCGAGTCATTACACCAGCCCTTTTTTGTATTGGGTAGTTTCGAGATAGGATGTTAAGAACTATTTACCTTGGCTGGCCTTGAACCTCTATCCCACCTATCTCTGTCTCATTAGTAGCTCAGATTACAGGTGTGAGCCCCCTGTGTCCAGCAGAAAAAAAGACATTTTTAAGGTGGTCCAGCTCTTCTCTTCCCACTAAAACTATTAACCAATTCAGTTCCTTTGCTATAATGACTAACACAGTCATTCAGATTTCCCAAAGTTGCCAAAAGTAGCCCGGGAAAATAGAAAACCTTTTCAGATCTGTATGATTGCGCATTTACTGTATTGAGATATATGGAAACGTATATATCAGATCCAATTACTAACTATCCAGTTAAGCCTTCCACACCAGACTTAACTAAAAGTGTCAGACAAATTTTTCTTTGCAATTTTATCTTAGCTAGATTTTTTACAATTACAGTTATCAAACACGTATTTGAGCTGAAAAGACAATACCTAAAGTGCGTTATAAAACCCAAACAATCAACTGGGCAGTGGTGGCTCAGACATGTAATCCTAGCTGTTCAATTATTACCCAAAATGGAAAGAAATCAACTGAAGGAACACATCTGAGATTGGACAGAATTTGACAATGTGAGACAAAGGGAAGAGAAGCGATTATATCCCTAACTCCTTAATTTAACTGAACTTTCTAGTTCAGCAGCAATACTATACAATTTTTAGAATCTAGGAGTGGTTCTTACACATCACTGTGTCAAATCCTACCTAATAAAAACGCTGTAGGCCATTTTCACACCACTCTCGAAACAAACTTTTTTTTCCCCTTGCGTGCTGGGAATTGAACTCTGGGTCTGGTGAATGCTAAAATGTACTCTACCACTGAGCTACACCCCCAACCCCATAAACATCAATTATACATACAATTACTATTGTAGGGAGTCCACCCCCACTACATAAATCAAGAGCCTTTCACAAGTTCAGCACATCTGACTCAATTATCTCCTTCCTTAGCCAACCCACAAAAAACCATTTCTCTCCAGACAGTGCATTGTGCTACTGAGTTCCTTTACTGCAATTTTGCTAAGGGGACCGCAGGCCAGAAATCCAGGTGACATAACTCACGTCTGTTTGTTTTTCATGTTCAATCTGTTATCGCCATACAAAAATGCCTCTTGATTAAGGGCGTGATTCAGTGGCAGAGCAGCGGGAAGCCCTGGACTCAATCCCCAGTATGCGTACACACACAACACCCACCCAAAACAGGTGGGTATGTGGGGGGAGAATAAGTAATGCCTCTCCTTGTGAGTTCCCTGCCGCTCCAAGCCACTCAGGTCCCTCCTCTTACCCAATATACTGATGTTGCTTCCTAAGCAATGGTCTAGATATGCACTTCTAACTGAATGAACTCAATCAAAATTAAAAACACATCTACTCTCAAGAAGCCTTCGGCCATTGACGGTGGGAAATCATAAGATAGGAAATTAAAACGCAACGTGGGAGGATGACTAGAAAGCGTCAACTCAGGCAGAGTCAGTGAAGGGCTTTTAAAAGCCAAAGACCCATTTCCCAGAAAATTCTAGCTCACCTCCTAATTCCCGTGGTTCGTGTCAAAGTTAGCACTAGCTGTCTTGCTTTGTCCTTCAGTTGCTTTGTATGTTTATGAACTAGTTTCCAAAAATAGATGGTAAATTCCTTTAGGGCTAAGACTACCACGGATTTCTTTTTCTTTCTCTTTCTCCTCGGAGCCACTCAGTGACTTAGGTACAGTAGGAAAGCAATCCAAGGGCGGAACAGGGGTGGCGGACCACGCTCACGTAGGAAACACACGTGAGGGGCACAAACGCAGCCCAGACTTAAAAACTCCCCCCATCTCCTTCGGAAGGCTGGGCTGGCGCTGCAGAGGGGGCGAGGCGGCGCGGGGACAGGAACGCGACCCCTAGAAGCAAATAAAGCTCCTGCCCACGGTCTCTGACAAGCGCGGGCGCCCCCGCCTCCCACCACCGCGAAGTGGCAGAGCTACGAAACGCCGCTCCGGTCCCTGCAAGCAGCGAGACATGCGGAGGTGCGCAAGGCGGGGGGGGGGGGGGGGAGAAGGGGGGGGGGGGGGGGCCCCTTCCTCACCTGCTTGGTCAAGAACCTATCCAGCTCGCTGCGGCTCTTCTCGTTCTTGGCAGCGATTAACTTAAGCGGCGCGGCCGCCACCTCCAGTAGAAGGTGCTCCATGGACAGGGACCCCGGTCCTGGACGACCAGAGGGCTCACCGCTTCGTGCTAAAAGCCTCGGGGTTGCGGCTGTTCCAGACCCCGAAACACTACCGACTACGCCCCCAGGAAAAGGGGCCGCCAAAAGCCGGCGAGCTGCAGCACACGTGGTGAAGCACGCGGCGTTGCGCGTCATCAGCACGCGACGGCGACGGCGCGCACTACAAGCCCCGCCCCGAGTCGACGGAAATGCCTACGTCACTACCGCGCCTGTTGTGGGAGCAGAAAGGATTTTGGAAGCTTAGGTGCTTGATAGTTGAGCTCAAGCGCAGTGAGTGAACCGCAGAAACAGATTTTGCTAGGCAGGTAGAGGACTTGCGGGACGTGCAGCGGCTTCCCTCTGCATCAACACAAAAAGATCAGAAGTGAAAGAAAAGCAGATTCGCCTTCCAGGACTCTAGTTTGCGGAAATGCATCCATAATGAGACAAACACAGCCCTGAAGCATACTTAATATAAATCTTGGAACTAATTTTTCAATTGGGAATTTTAAAAAGTATGGTGCACACATTAAAGAATATTCTGAGGCCATTAAGCTACTCGAGACTGTAATCAAGCTCTATCTAAATCCTTCTGACAGATGGGAAAAAGCTACAAATCATACTTCCAACTCTCCAATTGCTGGGAGTCTTCCCAAACTTCCCCCCCCGCCCCCCGCCGCCCCTCCTTCTCTCCCCTCTTCCCTCGCTTCCAGGCAGAATCTGTTCTGCTCTTATCTCCAATTTTGTTGAAGAGAAAACATAAGCAATAATAAGACAAAGCGGTTTTGCTAGTTGAGATAAGGATAACTGTACGGAGAGGTTCCTAGTCTTGCTTCCATGGACAAATGTGTTATATCCAAGTTGATTCATCTCTAACCGACCTTTACACTAGTTCCTGATCCCCTTCTCATATTGACCTCTCTCGCTTTAAGGTTTCTGTATTAGTTCCTCTGTAGTGGGGACATCAAATACTTTTGTTTTGGGTTTCTTACCTATCCCCATACCTCCGGTGTATGCTTTCCCCTTATCATGTGACCCAAGTCCATCCCCATTGCTGTATTTGCCCTAGGTCTAAATTCCGCATATGAGGGAGAATATACGATTTTTTAGTCTTCTGAGCCTGGCTAACCTCGCTCAGAATGATGTTCTCTAGTTCTATCCATTTACTTGCGAATGATAAGATTTCATTCTTCTTCATGGCTGAGTAAAATTCCATTGTGTATAAATACACATTTTCTTAATCCATTCATCAGTAGTGGAGCATCTTGGTTGTTTCCATAATTTGGCTATTGTGAATAGCGCTGCAATAAACATGGGTGTGCAGGTGCCTCTGGAATAGCCTGTGTAGCATTCCGTTGGGTACATTCCCAGGAGTGGGATTGCTGGATCATATGGCAGATCTATGTTTAGATTTTTAAGAAGCCTCCAAATTTTTTTCCAGAGTGGTTGCACTAGCTTGCATGCCCACCAGCAGTGTACGAGGGTTCTTTTCCCCCACAACCTCGCCAACACTTCCAACAACAATCTTACACAGGAGCAACACTGTGCTCTCCACCTCATTTAACTCACTGCCCATTAAAATACCCCAATTTTTGGTATCTACCTAAATCAAACTATGGACATTGATTCCTGTCATAAAGGTTTTCTTACCCTCCTAATCAGTCCTCCCCAATTATGTGTGGGAATATAATCCCTGTCACTAAGTTTCAATTTGGGAATACAAGTTTAATGATACCATCAACCTCTCATCCTATTCAGCATGCCTCAAACCCGTGCAGGCCTTGGTCTACTGCCACCTACCCTGTTACCCACACAAAATTTTAAGACTCCCTCTGGGCTTATGTCAACATTACCTTACATCTTTGCATTCCCCCATCTGAAGGATTCAATTTTCTTTGTGGATCATCATCCTTTCTTTACATGCCCCCTAATTGAGTAAGCATCTGCACCCTAGTAGGTCATGCCAATCATCAAAATCCACCCCTCTGCAATTCCCCTCCCTGTCTGTGATCTGCCTAGACAAATAAAAGAGGACTTATCAGTGCCTTAGTACTCTTGGCCTCCCTCATAGAAAACTGCCTGGAACTGGTCCCTCCTAAGTTTGAGTGCGGTGGTGAGGGATGTAAGGCTCCCCCAATTCAAACAAACCTAAACTACTCCATTTTGTAAAGGACTCCATTTTGTCTGGCAGGAAGGCTGTTCTGTTTTGCAGAAACTTTTTCTGCACTCAAATGGAATCCCACTTGCATCTTATTGACAATAAAATCCAACCACCTGATGTCATAGGATTGTACAGGGAGCACCAGAAAAATGGGGACCCAGGATGACGAGTGCCACTACCTATTCAAAGTGCTCATGGGCAACTCTGGAGTGGGCATGAGCAACTTGCTGTCATGCTTCACCTCCAGTGAGTTCAGCCTGGAGAGCAAGAGCACCATTGGTGTGTAGTCTGCAATGCACAGCATCCAGGTGGCAACCATCAAGGGGCAGATCTGGGAAACAGCTGGCCAAAAGCACTATGGTGCCATCACCTCCTCATGGTGAGGTGAGCACACTGCTGGTGTGCAACATGGGCAAGCACCAACATATGAGAATGTGAAGCACTGGCTGAAGGAGCTGCAGAACCACAAGGACAGCAACATTGTCATCATGCTGGTAGGCAACAAGAGTGACCTGCACCACCTGCAGGTCATGCCTACTGATGAGACCCAACTCTTTGAAGAAAGGAACTTGTATTCCTAGTGGACATCAGTGTGACAGAAACCCAACAAACTACAGTGCTGCCAGAACCTGTGACTGCCTTGCGCTTCCATCCAGTGTGTATGCATGTTATCAGCCTGCCTCTCACCAGTGCCCTCCCAACCCCTCCATCCCTCACGATTGGCTGGCTCCCACCTTCCCAGTAGCTCTGCACACCAGCCAGCCTGGCCCAGGAAGAGCAGGAGTGGCACCTCCTGTCCTGCATCAGGAAAGCTAGAAGACCCTGCTGTGCACCTGATCTCCTTGGGTCCCTGTGAGCATCTTGATAAAGTGGGGAGGTGGGAAGGATGAACAGGGCTGGCCTGAGGCAAGGAGGATGAGTGGACAGAGCCAGCTTCTCCTGTTTTCCACAGCAGATTCCACAGTAATGTTACCTCCCTCCTTCTCTGGCCAGCTGGCCCGGCATCCCCACCCAGGACCCTTTCCAGGACTCCCAAAGAGCCAGGTAGCAGGGATTGTGTAGGCAGACACTCCAGGTTCCGCATCGTGCTCCACACACAGCCAGCACCAGCACGGCTTCTGACTCCAGGACCTTTGACTCCTGCTCTGGCCTGCTGATTTATGCTGGAGAAACCCCTTGCTCCCTCTTGCCCCCTCCTCTGCACCCAGCACTCTCTCCCTGCCTTCCTCCTATAAGGGGAGCAATGAGAGGTGACTCCATTTTGGATGACAGCAGCACTTTAAGAGTAAACATCTAAAGAGGAGAGGGAAACAACAGACTTCTCAGAGAAATGACAAGCACCTTACCAAAACAACAAAATGAGCTGCACAATGTGGATAGTGGACCCCAAGGCCACAATGACTTGAGTAGACTTTCAAGGCCAGGACAAGCTGACTAGACCCTTCTGGAATGTCCAATTTGATAAGGAGAGGGACGGACAGGTGGTCGAATTTAATGAGAAGTTGACTAGGTTCTAACCAATCACAAATGTAGTTTCAAGGTAAAACAGTTGGACCTAAGCCAGCTAGTGCCCTACATCATCTCCTAGATTTCAACCATTGTTTGGCTTAGCTCTTTCACTAAGTCCCAGTCATCAGGGTGCTTTTGCTATCCTTTCAATAAACTTTGTGCTTGCTTTACTGGTCTGGTGCCTTCAATCATCAACTTCCACAGAACATGAACTCAGGAAACAATCCAGTATCACTCCCTTCTTTGTCTTGTCTCCCTGTCTGGTCAAGACCCTGTTTGCAGTACCTCCATGTTTTGAATATACAACCCTCTCATGGCCTTTGGTTTTGGTTATTGTAGAGAAACACAGATTCTTTACACGTTTTTTAAGATTTATGACACACAAAAAAAGTAAGCGTTGTACACAGTAACAACTACCCTAGCAAAACACTGAGAATTTGACCACTACAACTGCTTCCTGGAACAGCCAGCTGAAGCAAAAAAGACATCGGTAATACATTCCTTCTGCATCTTAAATGCTTATAAACCCCAGCTCTAACCTCATTCTAGGTTAATACTTCTTGTATCTGGCCCATTTATGAGTCTGCAAAGTAAATAAATCTTTGCTTCTAACTCAATTCCTGTTTTTCTGTGAAATTGTTCACACCCTGTGCACCAGCCTCAGACCCCTAATAAGAGTACAGAAAATTAAAAATGTATTTCTACAAGCTGGCACCAGTGGCTCACGCCTGTAATCCTAGCTATTCAGGAGGCAGAGATCAGGAGGATTGCAGGCAAATAGTTCACAACACCCTATCTTGAAAAAAACCCTTCACAACAAAGGGCTGGTGGAGTGGCTCAACCTTTAGGCTCTGAGTTCAAACCCCAGTACTAAAAATAAAAAAACAGTATTAATATGAAGGTCATGAACATGCCAAACCAATAAATGACAAAGTCAACCTACTCGTTGTGTTGGGAGGGTATGACTGCAAAGAGCCTGAGGGAAACTCCTAAGGAGATGGACAAATTTCATTGTTTTCATCTGGACCAGTGGTTATGTGACATGTGCAGATCTGCAACAAGAAGCTATAGTATGATTCAACCTTTTCAAAGTATGTTTGTTTTTTTTTTTTTTTCAATTTACACAGGGGTCTTGCAATGTAGCCCAGGCTGGTCTGTAATTCCTAATCCTTTCCTGCCTCAGCCTCCCCAGTACTAGACTTAGGAGTGTACCACCGCCCAGCTCAAAGTGATTTCACTTTGAATTTTTGGCCTAGGTTTTGAAGAGGAGAGGGAGAGGGGGGAAAGAAGGGAAAGAGGAAAGGGAGTGGGATTCCAAGGGGAGAGAGAAACTGGTATGTACTAAACGGGGGTATAACTCAGTGGGTAGAGCACTTGTGTATGAGTCCCTGGGTTCAGTCCCCACTTGAAAAAAATCAGAATGTTAAGAAAGATTAAAAAACTTAACATCACTAAAAGTTGGAAATCAACTGGAGAATTACTTCCA